GCCTCATAAGGCCTTTATTGTAAGTACCACTTTGTATTCCACACACAACTTGTTAATTCTGCAACATCTAAACTGGGGAAATGCCCTTGGAAACTGGCTTGAAGATACTTGGATATGCTTTCCTGATACAGGGAGCGACTTCATGGTAGATTTTCTTTATTTTGCAGAAGCACAGTCCATCCAGCATCTCCTCCTCTGCTTTGTACTCAAGGAGATGTTGAAGTGGCAGAGTCTCCCCTCCGAATTCTAGCTGAAGCCCCGGATTCCTTTGAAAAGCATATAAGAAGCATTTTGCAACGTAATGTTGCAAATCCAGCATTTTTGAAGTATGGGATATAGGTTATAGGTTTTAAGAACTGGTTCCCTTCTCTATTTTCCCAATTACTGTTTATCCTGTCTGTCCTCAGTTGTTTATTTCATTTCATGTACTTTTTATTGTGTTGGAGTTGGAAGAAACATAGGGCATATTTAATTAGCTAGTGAACAGATAGAATGGATATAGAGGCACTTGAAAATGATAAACAGGAAGTATAAAAAGGGAAAAAAGCAGCTATGACTTGAGTCAATTTTTAGTTGTTTTACTCAGCTAAGGAAAGTAATGTAGAAACTTTTTTTAAAGATCATCTGAAAAAGATACAGCCCCTCCTCCCGAAGAATGTCTTCAGCTCATCAGCAGAGCCACCCAGGTGTTCAGAGAACAGTACATCCTTAAACAGGACCTGGCCAAGGAGGAGATTCAGCGGAGGTAGGTGGCCTTTGCACACGTCCCGCCAGCTCCTGGCGGGCAGCCGACACTATAATGGCCTAGACCTGGCTTCCCATTACATCTCTTTCTTTTTGCTTTTGAAGGATCAAATTACTATGTGACCAAAAAAAGAAACAACTTGAAGACCTCAACTACTGTCGAGAGGAAAGGTAAGTGCCAAAATTGGGGAGGAAAAAAACAGTAGCTCAAGAGATCGGAGCTGGATCTCACCCTAAAACCCAGACCACATTAGCTGGCTTCACCATCAAGGTGGACCCCAAGAGTCTCATTTTTCCTGCCATTAGGAAAAGTCTGCGGGAAATGGCCGAGCGCTTAGCTGACAAATATGAGGAAGCCAAGGAAAAACAGGAAGATATCACCAACAGGTCAGTGGTCCTACAACATTCAGTGCACAGATGTTAACAGCGCCGCGGGAAGCGGCCTGGAGTGCTCTCCCAGCCTGTGGGGCTGGCTCCCTCCTCTCCTGAGGCAGTTAGGGAAGACAGTGCAGTGATGCTTTCCCCCATCCTGTGCGGCCTCCTCCACAAGCACCAGATTGATTCCTAAGTAGCAGAGATCTTAAGCTGGGATGTTTTCTTGCCTTTTTTAAAGGATGAAAAAAGTACTTCACAGTTTTCATTCTCAGCTTCCAGTTCTCTCTGATAGTGAGAGAGACATGAAGAAAGAATTACAGCTGATACCTGATCAACTTCGACATTTGGGCAATGCCATCAAACAGGTAGGAATGAATATAGATTGTTAACTTTTGTACTTGTTTGTTCTATAGAAAATAATTTTTTAAAATATAAAAAATTCTCGGGACAGGGAAGTTGGGAAGAGATTTACAAAAGAACTTACAAGTATAATCTATGGACACAGACAGGAATGCAGTGAAGGCCTGGGAAGGGGGCAGAAGTGGGGAAGAGGGGGGAAATGTGTGTGTGGGGAAATCTGTAATACTTTTCAACAAGAAAAACAGATTTAAAAAGTGAAAAGATAACATGAAAACATGTAGCAAACCACAGCCAAAAAACCTAAGTTCTATTTAATACTTAAGGTTACTATGAAAAAAGACTATCAGCAGCGCAAGATGGAAAAGGTACTGAGTCCTCAAAAACCCACCATTACCCTCAGTGCCTACCAGCGGAAGTGCATTCAGTCCATCCTGAAGGAGGAGTAAGTAATACTGCCCATCTGCTGTTATGAGGTAGCTTTTTCTTTTTTTTCAAATATATTGATTTTTTTACAGAGAGGGAGAGAGGGATAGTCAGAAACATCGATGAGAGAGAAACATCGATCAGCTGCCTCTTGCACACCCCCTATTGGAGATGTGCCTGCAACCAAGGTACATGCCCCCAACCGGAATCGTATCTGGGACCTTTCAGTCTGCAGGTCAACACTCTATCCACTGAGCCAAACCAATTTCGGCATGAGGTAGCTTTTCTTTGCAATAAATATGCCAAAATGAGCCTTTCTCTGCCCAGCTGACATTACTTGACACTTGTATGTCAAGTTTACTGGAATAGAAACCATGTGATAAAGGACTTGAGATGATAACTTCATTGTTATATGATTTTGTTGTGTAGTCAAGGTGTATTCCCAAGTGAACATGTTAAAATACTATTTGCCACTGTTGTTAGCCTTAAATAAGTAGTAATCACCATTACTATCCATCTGAAATCTTAACCTGTTAATTTTGGCAAAGCACTTCTAATTTCAACATTATTAAATTCTTTAAGGCTCATTTGTCCTATTCCCAAAAGTGAATGATTTTATGATTTTACAGGGGTGAACACATAAGAGAAATGGTGAAGCAGATTAATGATATCCGAAATCATGTCAACTTCTGACACCACCAGGAACAGTTGCACCTGAAGTCAACACAAGTGAAGGCTTGAGCTCAAACTGTAAAACAAGCCAGTAGCATTATCTAATTTAAAAGGCATTTGGATGAACTTTGGTGTTATTGTTCATCATTTTCATACTTGTTTTCTAATTATTGAATAAATGCTTTTATTTAAAAATTGGAATGTGCTTTATATATAAGCTTAAGTTGATGATTATGTTCAACAATGGCTTAGGATTTCTTTTAAAAGCCCAAGAACTCTGAGTTTTCTCCACAGTTGAACAAGATTTAGAGCTGCATGTTAAAGTGCCAACACCAGAAATGTGATTCTGAAAAGGGACAGGAACTTGTGATTCAAAGGAAAAGGCCACACAGAATACTAGGCAGCAGCTTTTTTAATTTGAACACTTTCTTCTTAAGGACACACCTTCAGTACAGTTAACGAACGGTTACAACTGAAATCTGCTTAGAGCCGAGCCCAGGATCCACAACTGCAAGGCCGCTGCTCGCTCACTCTGACAGGCAGTATTCCTTCTGAGAGCTCAGTTGCTGTGCACTGTGTCCTGATATGAGTTACGAGTGAGTACAAGGTACAAATGTAGGACTTCAAAGGGGGAAAGAAACAAATTACTTTGTATGCAGGATATGATTTTGTTCTCAGCCGTGGGTAATCTTTTTATACCTGCCATATTAGTTCTGAAAGGTAAGACTGCACCTGCCTAGAAATGGCCGAATGACTGCCAATTGAAAACCACATAAGGCAGGTCACAGGTAGGAGGTAAATCATGTTAGACATGCGTGAAAAAATGTGTGTACAAACTGAACACAAGCACAGGAACACTTGTAAAACCAACTGATCTTTTCTTTTGTCCAGAAAGGCTATATCCTGCCTTCTAAATCAGTTTCCCATTTATACAGAAAACCCAGATTAAAATGTTTCCTACCAGGATAGTGCACAATGTTGGCTTCATACCAGAAAAAAACTGTTTAACAAAACCTACAGTAACAGTTTGGGTTTTCCTAGGATACTTTTTTTTTTTTTTTTTAACAAAGTGGGTTCCAGCAGTTTGCATCTGCCAAAGTAGAGACCACCAGTGGTTCTCTAATCATGATTTTATTAGCCCAGTACCATCTTATTGAGAAAAACATCTGCAAGCTTGTCTGAGCAGAGCAGTTCCCTGGGACCTATAGTTTAGTTCAAGAAGATTATAAATTACCCACCCATTCTGAATTATAGTGCCAATTTTAATATTCTGAAACAAATTAGCTCAGGGCTTATCCAAGGAACCAGTCTTACACTTAAATCATTTAGATTGTATTTCAGAATTAAATTCCCTGTAACTCAATGAGGATATATGTTTCCTTTATCTAAACCGAGTAGTACTGTATACAAAAGGGACTGTAAACCAATTAAAATGTTTCATGCATGGCAAGCCTGTAGCACTATTTCCATAATTAGTATTTACTTTTAAATTCATAATCATGAATGCAAGACTACCACAATAACCCAAGGAATGAGGTATGTAGTCTTAACTTGTCCCATGGAAGACAGAAGTAAAGATCTTTCGGGCTAGTCCACAACAGCTTCATTTAAAACAATGACAATTCACTTTAGTTACCAGAAGGTTCCTTCAATTACCCTGCTGTTATATGACACCAGTCACAAAAACAATTTGAAAACAATTTTACCTTTGAACCATCTCTATCGTTAATGAAACCATGAAGGCCCCACTGGCTAACAGTCCTGCAGCAGGTCAATAGCCAACAGGAACCGCTCTCTGTGCTTTCTGCAACACCATACAGCCAAGGCAGCCTGTTCACTGAAGCTTTCTTCACAAAGAAAAGCTAACCTCACAGGAATGACAAAGCAGATTTCCAAACTGATGAATAGACTGACTGGGGTTTTCCCAACTTCATAAGCATTATCACACTCATTATCACACTCCAGGTCTAAATTATAAAAGAAAAATACAAAATTGGTACCTGTCAAACATAGTTATCACCATTTTGTATTTGACACTTCGGAAACAAACAGTACTTCGGCCCATTGATTTGAGTTAAAAGCAAGAAGCAGATTTATAAATGTATACTAGATGTTGTCACACACAGCTTGTTAATATCTTTTCCCACTGATCCAATAACAAAGTTTTCAAGAGCAGGTGGTACCAGTTCAGTTTGACTCTGGTACCTGTGGGCCCACAAAATTTCTCCAAGTAGCATAAAAAGTGCTTTCAAACAGTTTCTTGTGCTTTTCTTTTAACCCAATTTCCAATACGTATAGCCCCAGCTAAGTTTTCAAATTCTCATAATTCAGTTCTTGGTTTTGTTTGCCACATCTTCTGATTCTCCAGCAAGTTTCAGTAGCATTTTAAGATCCTCCAATGAAAGAATAGTTTAAAAAAAAAAAAAAAAAAAGCACTGCGCTAGGAAATGCAGTCACTAGCCAATGGCCTGCTCTCAAACTTCATATTTTAATATAAAATATTCATACAGCATACTACACGTGTCTTGCTAGCTGAATACTGTTACTGATGTACTCTATACAACAAAAAATTCTCTCTTCCAAGATTTATGAACAGGAAATGTAATTCCAAACACTACTGGATGTTGCTTTAGGGAAATGATGGATAAATAAGCAAGGAAACAGCACTTTCTCCATCACCGAACCTGATCCATATATGCTGGAGTCAAGCCTGGGGTCTCACTAGTGTTCCCATTTGAAAGGTCTTTTTGCTGCAAATTAGCCGGCTGTTTGCTGTTCTGTGCTGCAGTCTTCTCCCACTAGAAACACATTTCCCCAGTCTTCCTTTTTAGTGACTTCTTTAGTTAAGAGTAAGTAGTTAATGTTGCTCTAAAGATGAGTTAAAAACCCAAAGTGCAGGTGAGAGTCCTGCTATGAAGGTGTCATGTCTCAGGAAGCTGGTTAATGTCTGTCAGTTTGGTATCATTCAGAATTGCCCGGATTCTCTCCAAGGAGTCTGCTTGCCGGATCCGCTCTAACTGCACCTGGAGAGACAATATAAGGTAAGTGCACATGGTTCCTGCCTAGATTTTTGGAAGTTTACTTTGGTTGGTTTAGAAGAAATGGAGTAATTCCCAAAAGCTGCTATGGAGCAGACCCAGTGTAAGGTGCTGGGACCATTGATGTGTTGGTGGTGGGGCGTAGGGACTTAGAGAATTTCAGCACAATATGTAAATATCACTATAGGCTCACTGGGAGCCAAGGCAGCATGGAGGTGGTGGAGGACCACTGTGGCCCAGTGTGAGCACCTAGCTCTGTAGAGTCTATGGGGAGGACAAAGCTAAGCTGGGCCTAAGGAATCAGGGGCTGATGAGATGATACTTACCAGAGTGATTCCGATGGATAAGGAACCACAAGGAGTTAAAATACATTGGAACGTGGAATCTGTATATATAAAGGCCTAAGCAGCCTGATGACCGGCTGGTAGCTATGATGCACACTGACCACCAGGGAGCAGACACTCAATGCAGGAGCTGCCCTTTGGTGGTCAATGTACTCCCTCAATGGGGGTGCCACTCAGCTGACAAAGGGGCACCAAATGCCAGGCTCAGAGGTGGCGAGCACAGCTGTGGTGGTGTGAGCCTCTCCCATGGATATACTTCCCCCATGTGCCCGTGTGGGGCCGCGGCAGCGGGCTCAGTGGGGCTGGGATGAGCAGGAGTGGTGCAGCACCCAGCCTGGGCTCAGTCTTCTCCCCTGCCACTTCTCGCACTACCTCTTGCTGTGCAGGATGGATGTAAACAGTGGGATGGAGCCTGATGAGCTGGCAGGTAAGGCCGGGTTGCAGTGACACAGAGTTCCACTGATCCCCGCAGGCCAGGCCAGGCCAAGGGACCCCCACCAGTGTACAAATCTATGCACTGGGCCTCTAGTATAAAATACAGACAGTCCTTGGGTTACCTCGCACTTGACGTACATTGTTTTGTCGCCATTTCCCATTTATTTATTAAAAAAAAAATTTGTCATTTTGACATATGTGCATATGTGTTTTATGTTTTTATAAATATATTTTATTGATTTTTTTACAGAGAGGAAGGGAGAGGGATAGAGAATCAGAAACATCAATGTGAGAGAAACACTGATCAGCTGCCTCCTGCACACCTCCTACTGGGGATGTGCCCACAACCAGGTACAAGCCTTTGACCAGAATCAAACCTGGGACCTTTCAGTCTGTAGACCAACTCTACCCACTGAGCCAAACCGGTTGGGCTGTTTTATGTTTTTTATTATTTACCACAAGTAAAGGTCAGGAATTGTTAATATTTTTTTTTAATTTTTTTTACTGTTTCACTTCATTATTGCTGTGTATGTGCTCGATGTAGGTGCTTATGTAGATGGGTTCCGACTTAGGGCGACAATCGCATTATGTCGCACCGTAGGAACGGATCTCCAATGTAACCCGAGGACCTACTGTATAAGGCAAAGAAGTGAAAAACTGTGGGGTAGGCCTTGTTGGGAAGGGTCTTACATGGTATTCCAAGGACTTAGCACTTTACTCTTAAGAACCAGCAGGGTAGAGAGGCAAAGGGGCACAAGTCTGAGGTACACTCCTGGGTTTTGGCTTGAATGACCAGGCAGGTGTTGGGCTGAGTTCTCCCGGGTACCAGGACCCCCTTAAGTGCTTTGGTGCTCTAAGGGTTCCCCAAATGCCTCACCTGAAGGGTCTGAGAAAGCTTTACAAAATCCCTCTGGACTTGTTCACTGACATCTAGTTCTGTCTGCAACCTCTGAGCTTTGTTCTTCTCTTCAAACATTAGTTGTTCAATGGTAACCTAAAAAATACAAGTTTTGAAGGAAGATTAATGCCAAAGAGCCATAGGTCAGAATCGCTTAAGTCTCCTACTACTAGAGAAGAAAGGTGGGTATCGAGTTGCCTAAGTTTCTTGCTCGAGGTCCCTAAAATGAATCAAAATGGATTCAAGTGCTGTGTGTGTGTGTGTGTGTGTGTGTGCATGCGCGCACACACACACACACACACACAGACTCCCCTCACCCTCACCCACAGCAGCCTGGTAGCAGTGGCTAATCAACAAACAGCAGCTGCTAAACCCTAGCTAGTTTGGCTAAGTGGATAGAGCATCAGCCTGAAGACTGAAAGGTACTGGGTTCGATTCCAGTCAAGGGCACATGCCCTGGTTGTGGACTCAATCCCCAGTAGGGGGCGAGCAGGAGGCAGCTGATTGATGTTTTTAACTCTCTATCCCTCTTCCTCTGAAATCAATAAAATATATACATACATCTATATATATATAGATGTATGTATATAGCAGCTGCTAAGATCAGAGCTGCTACAGCAATAGGGACAGAAACTTTGGAGACTTTCTCTGACAACCACAACAGTCAAGCATATGAAAACTGTCAGTGAACATACACCAGGCAGCCCCAGCTATCTCCCCCTCAGCAGACCATGTGGCAGCATTTCTACAGGCAAAGAATTATCAGATACCATGTTCATGGTGTTTTTATACTTAAAGGTGACCTCACAGACACTGTTTCTAGGAAACTCCCCCACAATTAGCCTCATGTACGTTTATTCTAACTGGAATAATCAAAAGTTAGGCAGCAAATACGGTTCAATGCAGTATTTGATGAGTCAAATGGATGACCCTATAGAAGCAGGTGTCTAGCTATGGCAGAGCCATTTGCCTCATGGCTCTTTCCGCCCAACACCTAAAAAGCCAGAGCGGGCAGTGTCAGATCTGACCCAACTCGAATGCGATAAATTCACTTCGTTTTCTTTCTGCAAGCAGAGTCTTGACAACTTTCAAAGGGTAGCACGATTCCAAGCAGCAGTCTTTTTTAAATGGGCGAGATGTGACCCTCCATTCTTAGCACTGCTTTTTTATCCAACTACCAACAAAAACATCACCTTAGCAGTAGTCTCTTTCTTTAACTGTTCTTCCAAAGTGGTTTTCATTTCCTGAAGGCTCTCAAGCTGTTGAGACTTCTCTCTCAATGTGGACTCCAACTGAAAGTAAGAAGGAAAAAGCTGAATTCACTGAGACTCCCCACTCAGCACCCTGCCCAGAGGAGCTGCGCCTGGAGCGCGATGCCCAAGTTCTCAGGCCTCCTAGGCCTTGGACTCCGGCTTTGCTTGTAATGCTCTTCTCACCCTTTGGTCTCTGTGAATCTTCTATTTATTCTTCAAGACCCATTTCTTTCATTAAACATTTACTAAGCACCTACTATGTTCTAAGGCCTGGAGATGGAGAAATCAGAAGAGACTGACATGAAGTAAAGAATTCTGACATGTGAACATGGAGGAAGAAGCATTTAATTCTGCCAGAAAAGTTGAGAAGGGATCTCATCCTTGAAGAGATGACATCTGATCCTTAAAAGATGAAAAATTTTACAGAGGAAGGAAAAGGGTGAAGGTGGAGACTCCAAAGAGAGGTGATGAATGATGAGTAAAAACTGAGTTCAGGATCTCTGGTGACTATTTGCTGAGCTACTGAGTGCAGAGGCGAGGCTGGAGAGGCAGGAGGGAGTCTAAGGAAGAGGACTTGGTCTTGGAAGTAAAGGGAACCACTGGGGGGCGTTTAACCAGAGTGGGACATAGGTTATAATGTAAAGACCACTTTGGTTTATTATAAAGATGAACTGGAATGGGATAAATTTGGGAGGATGTTACATAACCCAGGTGAGAATTGAAGTCTGAACCCAAACAGCAGCAGAGTGGAAAGGATGGGACATGACTAGAGAGCTGATGATTTCTGCCAGTGCAACCTCGACGGTACAATGGAGGCAGAAGCCAGTCTCAATGCCTGAGCAGTGACTGGAAGGTCAGGCAGTGGAGGTCAAGAACCTTGCCTCTAAAAGGAAGAAGAAAGATTGGTAACTTGAGAGAGAAGTGTAATCCAAAGAGAAACCTTTCTCCTCTTAACAGGAAACATCCATGAAAGGGAAAAGACCAGTAACAAGGTAGAAGTTCAAGGCCCATGACTGAGCGGAAAACTGAGAGGAAGTCTGGTCAGAAACAAGTCTTATTTTTTTTTATTTTTTTCTCACCTGAGGATATTTTCATTGATTTGAGAGAGAAAGGAAGGAGAAAGAGAGTGAGAAACATCGATGTGAGAATGAAATATTGATCAGTTGTCTTCCATACATGCCCCAACTGGGAAATGAACCTACAATCAAGGTATAATATGTTCCCTGACTAGGTATCAAACCCAAGACCTTTTTGGTGTATGGATGATGCTCTAACCAACTGAGCCACCTCGCTGAGTGGAAACAGACCATTTTCTCTGGAGAAACAAGACAGAGAAGGCTGGGGAGAAAAGTCAGAGAAGTAATCGAGAGCCCAGGAAGCTGAAGGTGGCCCTACAATGATGGGTACACAGCCATCACGTGCTGAGTGAGGAGGTGAAGTGAGTGTGACTGACTGACACCCCCTGGGAGAGGGGAAGGGAGACATTTGCTGAGGGCAAATGAAAGGCTGACTGAGTAGCATTTGGGGCCCAACTGATGACATGAGCAGTGTGTTCTTCACTCCAGTGGCATGAGCAGCTGGGGCAGAGGTGGAGGAGGTGCACAGCAGGATTAACCCAGAGCAGGGCAGTACTGAGTGAGGGCGGCAGACAGACCAGAAGTCAGGGGATCTGCAGGTGATGCTGGGAGACTAGATGAAGGAAGCCATACAGATGCTCCTCAGAAGGAAAGAAAGCAAAGCCCTGAGGAAGTCGCTAAAACCAAAGGAAAAGTGCAGGAAATTGAAGCTCTGAATGAGGTTCTCAGAGAGCTAGAACCATGGGTGTAAGAGCTGGAAGGATGGTAAACAAGGATGAGGCAATATGGGGCTGGAGTGAGATACCAGAGATGGGCCTGGTGCAGCCAAAACTGTGGGAAGCGCCGAAACTGGTGTGGCTCAGTGGATAGAGCATCAGCCTGCGGACTGAAAGGTCCCAGGTTCGATTCCAGTCAAGGGTATGTACCTTGGTTGCAGGCACATCCACATTAGGGGGTGTGCAAGAGGCAGCTGATCAATGTCTCTCTCTCATCAATGTTTCTAACTCTATTCCTCTCTCTTCCTCTCTGTAAAAAATTAATAAAATATATTTTAAAAATAAAAAAAGACCGTGGGAAGGAAGGGGCAGGTGGAGGCAAAGGTCACTGAGTCAACCAACAAGGAGGCCAGTGTTGATAGGGTCATGCTGTCCAAGAGAAGAGGACTCTGAGCCAGATAGAAACCATCATCTCCTATTTATAAAACATTCTGTACATATTTCTACTGTAGCTTCAAGTACATACCAATACCATGCTGTGCCTGTCTTTCCACTACCATGGAAACTCCAGGCTGCAATCATATCTGTACCCTCTGTCCCCTCTGGTCGACATGTGGCCTGGCACCGAGCAGACTCCTCAGTAAGTGGTCTCAATTATCATCACACCCTTTCCCACTGTACTTCTCCCCCTAGACACAGGGACATGTCATAACTATATTTTATTCCTTGGGTCTAGCACAAAAGAATTCAATACTTAACTACTGGTTGCTGGTGGAAATAATTTGAAACTCACCTGTCCTTTTTCTATTTTTATTCTTTCTAATTCAGCTTTTAAGCTAGAAATGGAAGCTAGAAGGAAAAAAAGAGGGAGAAGTATTATCATTTATTGATTATTGTGGATTTAAATTTTCTTACAACCCTCCCTTTTTCTACCATAATTTCAATCTCATATAATAAAAGAAGTCAAATATATACGAAACACGGGAGAAAACCAACACCCTTTTCTCAAAATTATCCCCAATCAGCATTATAACCAAGCTCAGGCAAAAGCGGAGTCCATATGAATGAACACTATCATAAATGCCCTCATCTTAGATATCCACATCTAACACTGGGGTATGTGGAGATATTCCCTGCAGGAATCTGTTAACCCATCAAAGTCTGCAAGGAAACGCCACCCATCTAGTCACCCTCCTCAGTGGTCTAGGTTCAAGTACTGACTTTCCCATCTCCTAGCAACTGCCAAAGAGGCCTCCAGAGCTCCTAAAAAGATAGTGAGTTTTGGATGTTTTGTGTTTTTTGTTTTACTCCTCGTTACTGGATATATCAGATCATCTGGGAAAATGGACTGAGTTCTTAAAGTCTTTTCTATACTTTTCTGTTTCCACATTCTATAGCCATGTATTTCTTATAATCAGAAAAAAGTTTTACTTAATGCCTCCACTTCTAAATTATATCACTTTTATCTTCACCTATTTCTTCCTTGCAGTTTTCTATTTCTAATTGCAGAGTTTCTTCAAGGTTCTCTTTTAAACACTGTTCCGCTTGAATCTGCTCTTTTAGGAAAAGAATTTCAGCCTTCAGCTTCTCTTCCATGTGGTCTGCTGCTGTCCGCACATTAATGATGTTCTCACGGTATTTTAATACCAATTCCCGGAGTTCCTGGATTAAAGAAACAAATTGTTGTTGGGTTTGTAAGGAAAGAAAATAAACAAAAGAAGCTAAAGATTTTCTGCAACCAGAATTTCAGATATTGTTTTAAATGGTTCAAAAATTAAAATTTCCAATTCCACCCCACTTGGGGCTTCAATGGGTAGATACTGTGCATGTCATGTTAACATCAGAAAGTTATAGAAATAAGACATTTCCAGCCAAAAAAAAAAAAAAAAGTGCTCTGTGAACCTCATATTTTTCCCTCAAAACTGTTTCATAAACAGAAAAATAAAAATGTTGAGTGACTTACAATGTGGGATTCACCATGAATAGTTTAGGAGCTTCTACTAGTCCTTGCTTAAATTTAAGGGGAGATAGGGTATAGGACCAAAAGATAAACTCAGAAGCAAATGTGAACTCTATGAAGATAAGATTTATTTACTTATTCATTCAACCACTTGAATATCTACCACAAGCTAAGTACTGTTAGCCCAGAAGCAAGTATGGCAAAGAATGGCTTTCTAAGGTGATCACCATTTGCTATAATAAATTCAGCTAAAATCTCATTTTTTCCCCTAAATTTTAACTGTCTTCTTTGAAGTCCTCCCAATGATATCCTAAAGCAATTATAAAGCAAAAACTGGGATTCTTAGATAACTAACATGTATATACATTAAAGAACAGTGCAGGGGGAAAGGTAAAAAACTGTTAAGTATTTCATAAGATTTACTGCTGAAGCTAGTCTAAGAATCAAGGCTTAAAAGCTAGACTGGTTACATCCTTCAAGTCTTCTTGGATTTACTTTTTTTTTTTTTTAATATAAGAATAATAAGTCTTCTAGAGACCATGAAAGAGAGGAATCTTTCCTGCCAAGAGGGAAAATATAACAGATGTTAAGTGGTCTGCTGTTTGCAAAAGCAGGCAAGTGACCCCTTCAAACATTTCATTTCTGGTGCATTCTCAATCTGGTTCTGCAAGAGTAAATTTCAGACCTTTGATTTGGCAAAAAGAAAATTCTTAGATATGACACTGATAGCATGAGCAATGGAAGGAAAAAATAAGTAAATTGGAACTATCTCAAAATTTAAAAATTTTGTGCTACAAAGGATACCATCAAGAAAAAGACAATCCATAGAATGGGAGAATTCACACGCACTAGGATGGCTATCTCAAAAAGTGAAACAAGCCCAGCAGGTATGACTCAGTGGTTGAGCACTGACCTATGAACCAGGAGGTCCCAGCTCGATTCTGGTCAGGACACAGGACTGGGTTGTGGGCTCGATCCCCAGTAGGAGGGGTGCAGAAGGCAGCTGATCAATGTTTCTCTTATTACTGATGTTTCTATCTATCCCCCTCTCTCTTCCTCTCTGAAATCAATAAAATATTTTTTAAGTGAAACAAATGGTGAGGATGTGGAGCAATCCTCAAATAATTAACCACCAAGCAATCCCACTGCTAGGTTTATACCCAAGAGAAATGAAAACACATGTCTATATGAAAACCTATATGTGAATGTTTATAACAACATTAAACAACCCAAATGTCCATCATAGACAAATAGGTAAAGGAATTAAGAACTGATACATGCTATGACATGAATGCACCTTGAAAATAGTATGCTATGTGAGAAGCCAGACACAACAGACTACAAACTGTATTACTCCAGCCCTGGAGCATCATCCAGTACACCGAAAGGTGATGGGTTTCCCAGTCAAAGCACATACCCAGGGTGCAAGTTCAATCCCTGTAGGGATGGGTACAGAAGGAAACCTATCAATGTTTTTCTCTCTTCCTTCCTCCCTCTCTCTCTCTAAAATCAATTTAAACAAAGATATCCTCAGGTGAGGATTTTAAAAAACTGATTCTATTCATGTGACAATCCAGAACAGGGCCATCTATAGATAGTAAGTAGATTAGTAGTTGCTTAAGGCTGTGGGGTGAAAGAATAAATGGTAAGGAGTTTCTTTTTGAGGTGATGAAAATGTTCTAAATTGATTGTGGTGATGGCTACATATATGAGAATATACTAAAAACCACTGAATGTATTTGGTATGTCAATTATATCTCAATAAAGCCTCTTTTTAAAAAAAAAGAATTTATAAACATTTCAGAAAATGTGCTTATTTGCATTTTTGAGCAGGTGGAAATTAAGTTACCTCTATAGTGTCTGGTAAAATGAAGTCTTCTGCTTGCTGTAATGACACGTGCAAGCTATGCTTTCCCTGAAGACTGTCATTGTCTTTTTGTAACCTCACCAACTCTTCAGAAACCTGTTCCCGTGACTGCATCAGCACTGCCTAAAATAGAAACAGATACTAATCACAGGCAGAACGGTAAAATCCTATCTGCTGATGGCTATACCAGAGACACAAGGCCAAACCAAGTGAGGGCTGAGGATACAGGGTGCATAAACCTCATAGACTGACTTGCAGTATTTACATACATTGAAGGGGACAGGCAATGATCAAGTTATTTGAACTCATTCTACACTGCTTCTACCAAAAGCCTAAAAGTTGTGACACTCTTCCCCGTATCCTGGACTCAGAAGGAACAGTATCTCCAACTAGATGGAAGTGTCTGACAATTAAGACTTGTATCAAATAGAGCATTCAGTACAAGACTCCTCTTTCCTGACAGCATGCATTCAACAGGAAGTAGAGAGAAACCAAAAGCAATATCTTCATTTTCCATTACAAGTATCTACATTCAAGCTCAAGAATGTGAATGAGCCAAGAACACCCAATATTAGACATCATCAAGAGGATATATGTTTATGAAATAAAAGAGCCTTAAGTAGTTCATTCTTAAAATGGAATAAGCTCCTATTCCTGCTTGACAATATAGGAAACTATCTTAGGTAGTTCGTATGAATTTGTATCAATATAAAAGTTATATAAGATAAAATCCCACAACAGTATTTAATTTGTTTTAGTATGTCGTTTACCTTAAACACATAAAGGTAGATTATACTACACCCAGTATTTATTTAGCAGCTACTCCTCTCTGCTAGGCATTTTGATACTCATGACGAATAAAAGACAGATGCTCTGGAGAAGCTCATAGTGCAGAAAGGTAAGTAAATCAGAGATTACCAACCGTAATACAAGTGCTAGGACAGAATGGGCCCAGCAGTGAAAAAAGGACAAAAGAGCACCTAATTAGGGGAGAGGGTCAGAGAACATTTCAGGAGTGACCACTGACTGCATCCTGAAAGACAAACTGGCTGCTGGCAAGCAGGCAGAGTCATGCATAAACTTTGGTTAATTCTATCGGCTCTTATAAAGATAAAGCAAAATCAGTTTTGCTTTATGCTCACTTACAACCCATTTACAACAAAATATTAGCATCCCGCTACCTTTAACTTATGAAAGAAGGGAAGGAAGAATATGTACATATTTGCTAATTTTTGTAAAGAGAAAAAAAGACAAATTTAAATGATCATATATGGGAATGGATGATAACGATGAAAAAGGTAAGGAATGAAAGTGAAACTTTTTAGTACTTATACATTTTTATATATAAGAAAATTTCCAGCCCAGCCCTTGTGGCTCAGTGGTTGAGCTTCAACCTATGAACCAGGAGGTCACGGTTGGACACCTGGTCAGGGCACATGCCCACAGTTGCAAGTTCAATCCTCAGTGGGGGGCATACAGGAGGTAGCCAATCAATGATTGTCTATTATTGATGTTTTTATCTCTCTGCCTCTCTCCATCTGCCTTCCTCTCAAATCAATTTTTAAAAAATATTTTTAATATAGTAAATAATGTATACAACACAAAATATGTGTTAATCAACTGCTGGTATTACTTATAAGGCTTCCAATCAACAGTAGGTTATTAGTAGTTATATTTTGGGAAGTCGGAAGTTAAGTACATGGATTTTCAACTGTGCTAGAGTCGGTGGCCCAAATTTCCAAATTGTTTAAGGGTCTATTTATTATAATATCATTATAATTACATAGAACATTTTTGTTCTTAGGAAATACACAGTGACATATTTAGGAGTATATGATGCCTACAGCTTAATTCCAAATTATTCAGAATATACATACAGCTCTGGTCAGGTGGCTCAGTTGATTGGAGCATCGATTGTTCTATATAGCAAAAGGTTGTGGGTTCCATTCCCGGTCAGAACACATACCCAGGTTGCAGATTCCATCCCCAGTCAGGGTGTGTATGGGAGGCAATCTATAGATGTTTGTCTCTCACATTGATGTTTCTCTCTCATTCTCTCCCAAAAATCAATAAAATAAAAAAACTCTTTAGAGTAAGGTAATATGTACCCAAGCCAATATTCTTTTATATATATATTATTGTTTTGGGGTTTTTTTTTTTACAGAGAGGAAGGGAGAAGGATAGAGAATTAGAAACATTGGCCACAGAGAAACATTGATCAGCTGCCTCCTGCACAAAACCCACTGGGGATTAATGGGGATTAAGCCTGCAACCAAGGTACATGCCTTGACCAGAATCGAACCTGGGACTCTTCAGTCTGCAGGCTGACGCTCTATCCACTGAGCCAAACCTGCTAGGGCAGAGCCAATATTCTTAAGAAAAAAAAAAACAAAAAACAGGGTGGGACAAAAGTAGGTGTGAGTATGCAAAATAGTTTATTCTTGAAGTAGAGGCCCAGTGCACGAAATTTGTGCACTCAACAGGGTGGGGGGTTGTTTCTTTCAGCCCAGCCTGTGCCCTCTCGCAGTCCAGGAGCCCTTGGGGGATGTCCAACTCACAGCTTAGGCCCACAGTTGGATATCCTTGTGCTGCCGAGGCGGCAAGAGAGGCTCGCGCCACCGCCAATGCACTTGCCAGCTGTGAGCTGGGCTTCTGGCTCGTGAGTCCTACATTGAGTGTATGTCCCCTAGTGGTCAGTGCACATCATAGTGACCGGTTGTTCTACTGTTCAGTCAATTTGCATATTAGTTTATTATATAGGATCATTAATTACTGTATTCTTTTCCATACGAATAACTGTTAGTCTAATTGCCCCACCTTGTATGTGCATATATAATATGAAAGAGAAAGAGACTGAGAAACAATTACAAGTATGAAACAGAGCAGGGCTAGGATTTAGAAGTTAGCTTAAAGGTCATTCAGACACTAACCCAAGGCCAACAAAAAAGAAACCCTCCTAGCCAGTGTGGTTCAGCAGTTGAGCATCGACCCAGGAGCCAAGAGGTTACCAATTTATTCCCAGTCAGGGGACATGCCCAGGTTGCAGGCTCCATTCCCAGTAGGGGGCATACAGGAGGCAATCAATGATGTTCCTCTCTCAGTGATGTTTCTCTCTATGCCTCTCCCTTCCTCTCTCTCTAAAAATCAATAATAATAAAAAAATATATATTAAAAGAAAGAAAGAAAAGAAACCACTGCCATGCAACCTGAGGTTGTTCTGGTCATCCCTGGAAGAGCTGGACAAGAGGTAGCTCTGTAGGACCATCCCAGCAGAACCAACAATGCTATAATTTACAAAAGGCCATCAGATGCAGGGCCCCAACTTTGAGAAAAAAGAAATAAGACAAATGGGAGTCAGATGACAGAGGAGGTCCAAATCTGGGGAACTATTCTGCAGAGGTTCCAGCCAACTCTTCAAGAAGCTGTCTTAACCCAACCATCTCAAAATGAATGGCCTTCTTAAAGTTCCCCAGGGCCACAGCAGGATTTATAAGCATGCTTTATTGTAACTCGTGGACAATTAATGAAGTTATTTTAGGTAAATTCGCTGTCCAGGAAAAGCATGACTACTTATAAGCTGCACCTGCTAGGGCTCTGAGAGATTTCAAATTTTAGTTTGTACTTGGAACTGAAAACTAAATAGTGGTTCACAGCTTATTTGATTTAAGTTTCTGAAATCGGAAAAATGAAAGATTAGAATATTGGAGCGTCAGGAGGTAGGGCTTAAAAAGAAAAAATGTCTTTGCCGAAACCGGTTTGGCTCAGTGGATAGAGCGTCGGACTGCAGACTGAAAGGTCCCGGGTTCGATTTCGGTCAAGGGCACGTACCTTGGTTGCGGGCACATCCCCAGTGGGGGATGTACAAGAGGCAGCTGGTCGATGTTTCTCTCTCATTGACGTTTCTAGCTCTCTATCCCTCTCAATTCCTCTATGTGTAAAATCAATAATATATATATATATTTTAAATGTCTTTACATAATAATGTCTACATGACCTTGCCCATTACTAATGTTCTGTATATAGGCCCTGGCGAACATAACAGTAATCATATTTTGGCCTGGGAGATAAAGTCATATCAAAGATGATTTCAAGATAGAACAAAAAGAACTATATTGAACATACTTAACATTTACTTAAATGTTAACTTACCATTTGTTCCTGAACATCCCTCTTTGCTTGGGAAAACCCCTGTTGTAACTCTTCAAGTAAAACCTCAGATGCTTGGGCTCTTAGGACAAGTGCTGAGATCTTTTACCAAAAGAGAAAAGAAAAAAAAGGCATGTACAAAAAATAGCAGTTACAAAACTGGTTATTCTGAAACTAACCCTTCCATCTCTGCTTACTTAATGTACAGGATTATGTATTAATTGTTGTAACCCACGAATCAGCAGGTATGTGAGCATCTGCTGCGTACAAAGCCTCAGCCTTTCAGATATCACAAAGCAGTGCCCAAGTCCCCAGGATCACGTGCTGCCACACGAGCAAACGTATGGGCCTCTAGCCACAGATATCAATCCATGTGACCTAGTCACCAATAGTAATCTTAAAAATTATAAAATAAATCAAAATAAATTTGTTTACACAGCTAAAATATTGTCTGAATTCTGCTTCCAGTAGTAGTGATCTGGATAATGGGAAACCACCTTTCTATCAAGAATTAAGAAAATGAGACCAAAATATTGAAGACATGTACTCTTGAAGGCACTGGAAAATAAGGCAAAAAAAAAATCACGGAGCCCAGATCCAGAATGAGCACACTGAGTGTTGAGTGCAGCATCTGGAACAACTCTCCTCTAGAAGAATGTACCAAATCCAAAAGACACAGATGTGACACTGAGAAGCTGAGCAGACTGTCTGGGAGTCCAGGATCCACTTCGCAAAGAGGCCCTTGGTAAACACTGCACTTTAGATTGGGTCCCCAAAGGACCACACCTTGCAGGGGTCCTCAAACTTTTTAAAGTGGGGGCCAGATCACGGTCCCTCAGAGAGCTGGAGGGCCGGACTATATGAACTACTAATTCCTACTGTAACACCTCGGCTGCGCTCACTGCCCAAAAAACCTGGCGGGCCGGATCAGACTCCTCTGCGGGCCACATGTGGCCCTCGGGCCGTAGTTTGAAGACGCCTGCTTAGGGTAACGAAGAACTTAAAATAATACAACCTTTACAACTTCCTATAATTATAATTCCTTATAATTAAGGTGATACAGGACTGTTAGTACCATTAATTGCCTGACTCTTATAAGGAAAATGCCTTTGTATTGTTTCAACAATTTTTCATATACAATGTCTACCACTCAAGTAAAAATGCACGAGAAAATATGATAAAAATAAGAGGAAATGATTAAAAAACATAACAGAAACAGATTTACAATGAAATCAAATATGTGAATTATTAGAGGTAGACTTTAAAATATACTTGATCTGTTTGGAGATTTGATAGAAATTTTTTCAGAGAACTGAAAACAATAAAAAATTACCAAATGGTCCTGGACAGTTTTTCTCAGTGGTTAGAGTGTTGGCCTGCCGACTAAAGGGTCAGGTTTCAATTCCCAGTCAAAGACATGTACCTCGGTTGCAGGCCCAATACTGACCCAGGTCGGGGGATGTGCAGGAGGCAACCAATTGATGTATCTCTCTCACATCGATGTTTCTCTCCTCTCTTTCTCCCCCCACCCTCCCTTCCACTCTCTCTAAAAATCAATGGGGGAGGATTATCCTTAGATGAGGATTAACCAAAAAACAAAAATAAATTTAAAAATTAACAAATGGATTTAAAAAACTGAAAAAATTACCTAAATTGAAAATTTAATGGATTTCAACAGATTAGATGCATTTGAAAAGAAAATGTGTGAACCAGAACACAGACCTAAATAAAATAAGGCCAAAAATAGAAAATACAGAAGATTTTAAAAGTCAGATGCATTGTGAAAGTCTAACATCTATAATAACCAATGGAAATAGCTTGCTACTAGAGCAAAAAAAATAAGCAAAACCTCTAATTTCACTCATAGATATACTCAAGAGAAATGAGTCCACATATTCAACAAAAAACACATACAAGACTTTTAGAAAATGTATTATTCATTTACAATACCCCAAACCCAGAACAACTTTACTAAAATCTCTCAAAGGTTCACAAGCAGCTTCAGGCCTCAGCCTGCCCCATACCTCCTGCTAAGTTATTCCTAGCTGGACCTTAGTGGCAGCCAGCTATGGTTCCCAGCTTGGCCTCTCCCAGGCACCTCAAAGCCCACCACAAGTGACAACCATCACAGATCACTTTGTAGCTCATACCAGGGATGGGTATAGGCAGCAGCTGACTTTAACCTGCACCAGAGCCCCTCCCAAGAGTCCCTAGAACCAACAAACCCTGTTGGCCAGTTTAAGACCACACCAGAGCACCACCAAGACACCTCCACAAATGACACACACAAAGAACAGATTTGACATGACCAGAGTCCCATTAGAACAAATCCTGCTCCACAGGGTCAGCCCTGCACAACAGCTCCTCTGCTGTAGTCATGCCCAGTTCTTACAGCCCGAGAGTTAATCTCCCCATTGACATGCCTACAGCTATTAAGGCTCAACTACAGCAGGAGGGTACACATAACCACACAAGGGACACACCTGGAGCAACCGGTTCAGGTGACCAGGGAGACTAGGCCCCATAGGACACCTACTACATATGGCCACTTGACCAAGACCAGGAGACACAGCAGCTCTGCCTAATACATAGAAACAAACACAAGGAGGCAGCCAAAATGAGGAGACAAAGAACATGTTCCAAATGAAAAAATGGAGCAAAACTGTTGAAAAAGTTGCCAGCACCAGTTTGGCTCAGTGGATAGAGCGTCGGCTTGCGGACTGAAAGGTCCCGGGTTCGATTCCGGTCAAGGGCATGTACCTTGGTTGCGGGCACATTCCCAGTAGGGGGTGTGCAAGAGGCAGCTGGTCGATGACTCTCTCTCATCGATGTTTCTAACTCTCTATCCCTCTCTCTTCCTCTCTGTGAAAAATCAATAAAATATATTAAAAAAAAAAAACTGTTGAAAAAGAACTAAACAAAATTGAGACAATCTACCAAGTGCCAAGGTCAAAGCACTGGTTATAAATATGCTCAAGGTACTTAGGGGAAGAATACATGGACTCACTGAGAACTTCAACAAGGAGATAGGAAACAAAAATGGAGCTAGAAAATAAAAAAAGAACCGGTCAAATTTAAAATGCAATAACTATAATGAAGAGTACATTAGAGAATGAACAGATGAGATGAAGCAGAGGATCAAATCAGCAATTTGGAAAATAAGGTAGTGGAAAATATCCAATTGGAACAGCAAAAGGAAAAAAAGAATCCAAAAAAAGAGGGCACTTTAAGGGGCCTCAGGGCACAAAGTCAAATGTACCAACATCTGCCACAAAGGGATACCAAAAGGAGAAGACAGAGAGCAAGGAATTGAAACCTATTGAAAACAAACACACACACACAGAAAACTTCCTTAACCTGGCAAAGGAAATAGATATATAAGTCCAGGAAATGCAGAGTCCCAAACAACAAGAACCCAATGAGGCCCACACCACGGCACATCATAATTAAAATGCCAAAGGTTGAAGACCAAAAAGAGAATCTTAAAAGCAACAAGAGAAAAGCAGTTAGTTACCTAGAGGGGAATACCCTTAGACTGTTGGCTGAGCCCTGGCTCAGTAGTTCAGTTGGTTAAAGCATCATCCTGATACGACAAGGTTTGGGTTCACTGCTCAGTCAGGGAACATAAAAGATTCAACCAATGAATGCCTAAATAAATAGAACAACAAATCTCTCTCTCCCATTCTCTCAAAAAAAAAAAAAAAAAAAAAAAGAATGTGAGCAGATTTCTCAACAGAAACGTTGCAAGCCAGAAGGGATTGACAGGAAACATTCAAAGTGGTGAAAAGCAAGAATATACAACCAAAATTACTCTACTCAGCAAAGCTATCATTTAGAATCAAAGAACAGATAAAGAACTTCTCAGAGAAGAAAAGCTAAAGGAGTTCATCATAACCAAACAGTATTACAAACATGTTCATAACCCCAAGGTAAGAAAACATTCTTTTAAAAACTGGGTCAACATTCACTAATCATAAAGAAAAGATCAATGAATTTAGCTACATTAACTTAAGAATCCTTTTCATTAAAAACCACCATTAAAATAATGAAAATAAGGCCCCGGCCAGATAATTCAGTTGGTTGGCGTATTGTCCCACGCACTGAAGGGTCCGGATTCTATTCCAGATCAGAGCACATACCCAGGTTATAGGTACGAGCCCCAGGCGGGTACATAAAAGAGGCAACTGATCAATGTCTGTCTCTCACATCAATGTTTCTCTCCCCTTCTATCTTCTTCACTCCCCCACCTCCCCTTTCTCCTCAATTAAAAACATCTTGAGTAAAAAATAATGATCATGATGATGATAATAAAAACAAGATATAGATAGAAGACATTTGCAACACAAATCACTAAAAGACACCAAGAAGATTATATAAAAAACTCCTACTCTGGCTGGTGTTCCCAATGGTTAGAGCATCAGCTGAAACACCAGAGAGTCACAGATTCAATTCTGGTCAAGGGCACATACATGTGGGTTGCAGGTTCCATCCCCAGCCCGTTTGGAGTGTGTGTAGGGGACAGTCAATCTCTCTCTCTTTCTCTCTCTCTCTCTCTCTCATCAATGTTTTCTCACTCTCCTTCCCTTCTCTATTTCTCTCTCTCTCTCCCCTCCCCCACCCTTTCACTCTCTAAAAATTAATATTTAAAAATCCTTAGGTGAGGATTACAAAAACAACTAACAAATCAGAAAAACAAGTAACTTTTTTAAAATTAAAAGAACACAATGCAATAGAAAAAATTAGCATAAGACTTGAGAAGGAATCTTACACACAAACAAAATGATATCCCAGTAGCCAATTAACATGAAAATGTTAAATTACCTCAATGGTCATCAGAGAAATGCAAACTAAGCCACAATGAAATACTATTCACACCCCAACAAAATGGCTATAATTAAAATAATTAACAAAATGAAGTTTGTCAAGACTGTAATCCACAAGAATTCTTCTCATGTTGCTGGTGAGTGTATAAATTCATACAAACACACTGCAAAACTTTTTGGCCTTAGTATTTACTAAAGACATTTTGAACATTCTAACCCAGGAATTTCACACCTAGGCATATACCCACCAGAAATTTGTTCAACAAGCCCTATACAAAAATTTCAAAATAGAATTATTTATAGTATGCCAGAACTAGAAACAATCCAAATGCTCACTGTGATATATAAATTGTAATATATCCATATACTAGTACAACTATAAACAATGAAAATAAGCATACTGCTACAAGCATCTTGAGTAAGAATCTCACATGTTGAATAGAGGAAGACAGACACAAAAGAATATAAACTATATGATTCATTTGTTAAAATAACAAAATAAAATTAAAACAGAGACAAAACCAATCTAATGGTATTAGAAGTTAGGACAATGGTTACCTCTGGGGAAGGAGAAAGTGAAGGTTTCTGGTGTACTAGCTAATGTCTTATTACTTGATTTTGATATGGTTACACAAGTATGTTAGTTCTGGTATATCTGAGTTTTTATACTATGAACACTATACTTTTAAAAAGTAAAAAAAAAAAAAAAAAAAAAAAGATAATTAGTATCTCTTCTGTCTGCAAGTTTGTTGTACAGCAGAAAACCAAATAAAAAACAAAGGGGAAAGGAGAATCAGCCTCCTGGTATTCATTAATCTGTTACTTCAAAAGTTTTGTTGTTTTTATTTAATCTACAAAACAGATACCAGAAAAAAACAGTTAAGAGGGAAAACAGAACTGCCAAATCTTCAGGGCAAGAAAAAAACATTATTTAGTTTTCATAATTTTTTTATTTAAACAACCCAGTCACCCACCAATGGGTCACATTCTAAAAACCCTCATTTACCTGATGACTTGAATCTTCAGTGCTCTGCTTTATGAAGTCTTCTAGCTCCTGTTTATCTTTCATTGTCTTCTCTAACTGGTCATTTGCTTGTCTTAGCATCACCTGTAGTTTTTTCACCTATATAATTTAAATGTCAATTAGAAGGAAGTACTAGAATTCTTTTATAAAATGAAAAAAATCTGTAACTCCAAAAATTTTTTATTTAATTTTCTTTCTCTGAAAAAAATCATAGATTTGTCAATTCAGAAAAAAGAGAGAGAGAGAGAGAAAGAGAGAAAGAGAGAGAGAGAGAAAGAGAGAGAGAGAGAGAGAGAGAGAGAGAGATAAAGGACTTAATTGGATGAATATACTCTGCTTTACAGTTAACAAATCATTTTTCACATACATTATCTTTTTCCTCCTGGGTCCTCTAAGCTAGGACACCGGCCTCTCGGACACTAGTATATCCTCTGCCTCCCATCTACAATCCATACTAACATCAGACATTTTTTCTAAAACAGAAGTCTAATCACATTACCATTTCCCTACTTAAAATCCCTAGATGTCTCCTAAAGTCTTCAGAGTCAAATTAAATCCCTTCAATCATCACCTCTCCCTCAGTGATGTCATCATGATCTCTTTAACTTCCTCTCCCATTATTTTACCACACAGAACTATTCATACTTTCTAGAACACATAATTTTCCTTCTTAACTCTGCTCTTTTGTACATCTTTTCTCTCTTTCAACACCCTTTCCTCACTTTTTTCCCCTACTTTTTACTCAAGTTCTAAAAGAAATTTAACTCGTTACCCACAAGTGTTACTCAACTGAGCCCAAAGTAAAATTAGATGTTCCTGTCCCTCCACTAGTTCTGTGTGTAATACATCTCAGGAACAAACTATATGGAACTGATAGCTTGGCTAGCAACACTGAAAGCTCCTTATGGGCAGTCAGTACTATGTTCTATTTGTACCCGAATACCCAGGATTCAGCAAAATGCCAAACAGTTGAATGTCTACTGAAATGACTGTGCAGTCCAAGATAGCCCATTCCAACACCACACTATTAGAAGCTAACCTAAGTTTCACAAACAGCTTTAGAATTTACTTTTCAACCATCTATGAAAAAAGCATATAGGAAGGAAATCAATGCCAATGGCTTTTGAAAATATTAAGCCATCATTCTAATATGCCTAAACTTATGTTGAAGACAAAGGGAACAATCTTCATAATAATTAAAGAATAATTAGGAAATATAAGGAAAAAAAGTATCTTTTCTTTACATATACTTTCACAAGCCTACTCTTACGAATTCCACATTATTTTCTAAGTGTTACCGAGGAGTTCATTATTAGGTACTATATTTGTAAAAGGTACTTGTCAATTTCAGTATACCAGATCAACCTAATCTTAATTTCTGTGACCCTGTAAATTAACCTAATTAATTCAACAAATTTATAACAAGAAATAGAGGCAATAAGCAATGAAGATTCCAAATACTGATTAATATAATATTCAATTAATGTTCCATGTTTACATACTCATGATAGTATCACTTTTAAATTTAAGCCTTGGGCAGAAGGGGCAAGTTCGTAGGAAGGATATATCAGTGTCTCTGAAAGAGCTGAGCTGACCTATGAGATGCTGATAAAGCAAAGACACATAGAAGCAGAGGTTCTAGTGTGTTCCCACTGGAGATGTAACTGCCATTGCATGTACTAAATTATTTCATATTTAACAAGACTGATGTACTTCATAAAGCAAATGGAGGGGAAAACAAATTAATCCTGCACTTCCAATGAAAACGACCACAGCTTACCAATTTGGCATACCCAAAGAAACTCACCTGGTCTCTTGTTTCGGCCTCCTGAATCTGAATTCCTTGTAACTGTTTTTCATAATTGGAACACATATCACAACGTCTACCAAGTTTATTTCCAGCATTATGTACCTGAAGGGCACCAAAATCACCTCTTATAAGGCAGAACAAAATAATTCTACATCACAGATGTGAGGAACACATGCACAATCTTACCAATGTTACTCAAAGTAGAACAAGGAATAAACAATTTCTTCAGGTACTTAAGGCAAGAAGTTACAACATAGAATTGGATTCTAAAAAGTCATAAGCTGTTACAAGTACGAAAGCAAAACAAGGGACATGACTTTACCACCAAGAGACTAAGTGCCACAAAACACCACATTTGAGGAAAACACAAAGCAAGCAGAAGGTACTACACCGTGGAGCTCACAACTGAAACCCAGCCAATGAAGGGAATGGGAGGAGGAACCAGTGCCAACTACCCACTTCACCTGCTCCGATTACCAAGGAGGTATGAAACTGTTAAGTAGCACCTTCTCACATGTAGAGAAGAAAAGTTTCTTTGGGGCTTAATAAGCTGTTCTACTTACTGATTGACAGCTCCTTTAAAGAAAAGTAACCCTGGGTAAAAGAAAGCACTGGAAGTCAGAAAACCTGTATTCTAACCCAGGTTTTGCTGCCAAGTCAAAGGGGAAACTTAAACAAGTCACTTGATCTTTTTAGCTAGTTTCTTCCCCTGTAAATTGGAGACAAGAATGTCCTGACTGCCTCATTATTATCAAGAAGCTCAAAGAGATGAGGTATGTGAAAGGGCTTTGTAATCTGTAAAGCACTATGCAAGTAAATATTACAGGTTTTATTTCCTATATTACTTCTGAATTTACAAATATTATTAGAAGAAAAATTAACCTCATTAAAAGTTGCCTTTTTTTCTTTCCTGTATTTCCCACCGCCTCCCCTTAAATTCACTCTCAGCATCTACTGCTGACAAGCATTTGCACTTCAAATATCAAAGAAAAATGAAAGCTAGGAATCTTGGAATACACTGAGATTATAGAAACTGCAAAGCAAAGCAAATTCAGGCTCCTCTAACTTAAACTTAGCTACGCTATTCAGGCAGACTGCTCCACTTCAGAGGTATGACTGCAGGTAGAAAGTTCACGCTGAATGCAATTAGCTAGTCAGTTCCTTCATCATAATCACCTGGAATAGCCAAAGCAGACTATGACAAGGGTCAGACAATAAGGTGAATATCCACTTGCTAACCGCATGTACATGTACTGGCTCCAGGGACTATCTTCTGAATGAACAATAAATTCTGGAGTTACCCAGTACTGCTCAAAGTGATCAGGAGGAAAAGAGAAAAAGATAACTCACCTCTTTCTGCAGGAGATTCCATTCTGTCTCACTGACTAAGCGATAACCACTGGGAGACACATAAGCACTTTCCATACCCTGGGTGACACTGGAGAGTAGAGACGCAGTCTCTTCTTGTTCGGGTGTCATTGCCTTGATTGCTCTTTCCTGATCTTTGGTTAATGTAAACCCACTTGGCATTTGCAGTGATCCAAGGGAGGCAGTATCAAAGTTCTCAGACACAGAATCTGCTCCTACTAGTGGTCCAAAATCTGATTCATCCAGGTTTCCAGCAGATTTTGCTTTGTAGTTATAGCCTAAAGCTTTGGATTGCAGCGAGCCTGAGGTTCCCAAGCTGTCTGTAGACTGTGCTCTCCTGAGTCCGTCTTTAAACATGTCATTGTCCAATTTACTGAATGGATCTCCAGATGGCAACAGTAAATCTGCATCTAAGGAATGGACTGAACCATGGGTACTATCTAAATGCTCCTGAAATGTGAAAATACATATTGTCACATTAGAAAATTCTCTGTATTTTCAAAATGGAAAACTACCATATACTAAAAGAACTATACCACGTTACACATGATAATCATTAGTGTGTAACCTTCACTATTTATTGAACAAACATTTATTGAGTATCCTCTATTTGCTTGCTGGGCACAAAAACAGGAACTTGGGATTCATCTGTGAGCAAGACACAACTTGCATCCTGTGAACTCAGGATACAACTGTGAGCAATCTCTGTCCTCAAGATGCTTATGGCTTCATGAAAAATTAACAAGTAAACAGGCTACCAGAACACTGTATTTAATATTGTAAAACGTGACCTTGTAAATTAACAGGTAGCTCAAGGAAAGGAATTTAGTCCACACATAAGCAGAGGAGGTTTGCTGAAATTCAGTGCTGAGTATGTTGACTGTGAGATGCCTGTTGTATATCCAAGTGGAAATGCCCATCCAATAGATGGACATTTAAGTCTTTAGACAGAGACTTGGGAGTAACCATCATATAATGATAATTCAAATCACAGCAGCAAATCAGAACACCTAATATAATCTGTAGGATGAGAGGGTCAAGAGCAGAACTCTGAAAAACACATTCTGGGGATGGAGAGAGGAAGGAGTAACTGTGGCAGAAGTGAAATGAAGGTAATGTGGTAAGCCAGAAACCAAGTTTCAAGCACGATGTAATTAACATGTTAAATGTGGTACACAAAGCGAAAGAAGCTAGATGCAAAAGTTATATATATCGTTTGATCCCAAATATGTGAAATGTCCACAACAGATAAGTACACAAAGACCAAAAACAAACAAGTGGCTGCCAGAGGCTGACAGGAAAACAGAATGGTGAGTGACTCCTTAATGGATACAGGGTCTTCTTTTTGGTGGTGATGAAAATATTTTGAAACTAGACAGAGGTGATGGCTGAATAACATTGTAAGAATATTAAATTCTGCTGCACTTTTTTTTTAAATATATATTTTATTGATATTTTTACAGAGAGGAGGAAGGGAGAGAGATAGAGAGCTAGAAACGTCGATGAGAGAAAAACATTGACCAGCTGCCTCTTGCACACCCCCTACCGAGGATGTGCCCAAAACCAATGTACATGCCCTTGACCGGAATCGAACCTGGGATCTTTCAGTCCGCAGACTTGACGCTTTACCACTGAGCCAAACCAGTTTCGGCTCTGCTGCACTTTAAATGGTTAACTCTATGTTACATGAATTTCAGCTCAATTTTTAAAAATGTGGTCCAGCACGTTCTCAAAGTGAAAAAGGGCGCCAGTGCCATTCCGTGATGCAATCACACAGCCAGTGAGGGTTAGAAAACAAGGAAAATGTAGCAAGTTTCTCTTGAAACTAAATGCACTCAAATTAAAGTACTAACCTTTATTTTAAGATAATAGCCTTTCTACTTTTTGTTGTTAAACATCCTTCCTTTTATGAATTAAAAAAGATTGTGGAATAAAATTTTTTTAATGTCTAAAAAAATCTCCTTACTTGGTAAAATAGTTGCCAACTTTTATGTTAAGTTCTTGATTTCTTTCCTCTGTGAAATTCAGATGACTAAGGAACATAAATCTAGTACATATTAAGTACATATTTGGGCAAAGGTCCCAAAGAAGTATCCTAATAAGAATTGGGAACCCATTCTGTGAACTACGAAGGAGCCTAACAGCTAATGCTATCACATACAATGCTGTGACAAAGAGGGAAGGGAACTGGGACAGAAAAACAGCAGACTGCCATGACAGTAACAGCATAAGGAGCACTTCCAGGAGAAGTGTAAACTGTTGTGGTGTTTCCAAAAGATGATTCAACAGTATGTTCTAATACCTTACAAATGTTTACATCCTCAAACTCAGCAGTTCTTTTCCCACAAACTTATACTAACAAAATAATCAGGTAAGTTCATATGATTTTTGTACAAAAAGAATTATATAGGGTGCCATAAACAATGTATACACACATTTTTTCTGATAGCTCAATTGATGTTTCTTTTCAGATTTAACTCACTAGAATTAATAATTAAAGTGTGTATACATTTTTGGGACAAGGAACAAACTTGACTATACTATATCAGGGTGCAAATAGTGTACTTTTATTTTCTACATTTTACAATGTTTTTGACATTATAGGGTCTTACTGGCCAAGGAGAGACTGCCCCTCCCACGTTAGTCAATTCCTAGAATATACAACTTGCCCGCAAACATGCCTTTCATATACAAATCAACTAATCCTGAGTCAATACCTCCAACTAATTCCTTTATCTGACTCTTACACACCAAGCCAGTATTTCTCCTACCCCAAAGCCCACTAGACTCATTCAAACTAGCCAATGGGATGCTGTTTACCCTTCCCTTTTCCTCAAAAAACAAACAAAAAAAACAACAACAACAGCTCTAGGGCATGCTTTGCCCTTGCTCCTGTTCTGCCTCATGACCAGCTCTGCTGCTTCCCCAAGTGGCTCACCTGGTGTACCACATATGCTGGTCCAAGACTCATTTCTAAGAGGAATGTGAATGCCATTAAACTTTTCTTTCCCTGGCACTGACCTCTCCATGTTGTCACTCAGTGACTTTTACAAATTAAAACCTGGGTATAAATCAATCAGTAGGAATTATGGTCCATTTACATGCTGAAATATGAAGCCTTTTTTGAGAGGAAAAAAAAAAACACAACAAAAAACATTTACTGATGTGTCAAAACCTTTAAAAACAGATTTAAGTGTGAGGGAGGAGAATGATATATAAAACATTATGTAGAGTTATAACTGGATTATGTTTAAAAAGTGCAAATAGAAACACTTTGGGAATAAAAACAGAAAAAGAGGGGAAAGAGAGGTATATGGCAAAATATTATTGAAGACTATCTCTGAGCAGAATTGCCTACCAGTTATTTTTACTTTGTATACCTTTCTGTATTTTCCAAGTTTTCTATAATGAACATATATATCATTGTAGTGAGAAAAACATATTCTAAGCATAAGGTTAAAGATATGATGTCCTACAAATTTAAACGTTTTTATCAATAAATATGACTAAGTTTCCAAAGGATTCCATATTAACTTTAAACCAACAGGTTAAATTGTCTTAATTCTCAACTGGAAACAAATATTCAAAATATCAGATCTGAAAGTCTAACAGGGATCCTCAAACTTTTTAAAGTGGGGGCCAGATCACGGTCCCTCAGAGAGCTGGAGGGCCGGACTATATGAACTACTAATTCCTACTGTAACACCTTGGCTGCGCTCACTGCCCAAAAAACCTGGCGGGCCGGATCAGACTCCTCTGCGGGCCGCATGTGGCCCGCGGGCCGTAGTTTGAAGACGCCTGGACTCTAAAAGATACTTCAAATGTCAGGAAATAATGCTATATAAAATATATCATAGATTTTTAAAGAAAAAATTTAAAAAGGCTTCATTGCAAATCACAAAAAATCTCCCTTTCCTATATTGCTGCTAAAATATTTTTGGAAATGTTTGAAACTTTTTCAAACATTCCTGGACACAGGACTGCATGACACAGAAACCACATAATATTTGGCAGTACCCGAAAGTTGAGACAGTCTCCTGGGAATCTAACTATTAAAAAAAAAAAAATAGCAGAATCAGGCCTAGTGGTCCTCAGTGTATGATTCAAAACAAAGAATGCAGAAAAACAATTACATCATACTTTTCAATGTCTGACAGGATTGAAAACTTTTCTTAAAATGTCAACAATCCATAAATTTGGAAATATAAGCTACCAGGAAGATATTCATGACTCAGAGTAAATCTGCAAACTAAACAAAAACACCTCTGAAAGTGGGTAAGACCCTTAATCCAATTTAACTGAAATTGCTGCAGCAGGCCGGAAGGAGGCAGGGGTAGGAAAGTGAGCTTGAAATTCTAAACCGCAGCGACAGTATAAACAAGGCATGTGAGCACTGGCAGTAAGTAGAAAGGTCTGGCTGGGATAAAGTGGCCAGCACAGTAAGGCTAGAAGGTCCTTTCAACCATCTAATACTGTCTAATACTGGTTAATACTTCATATATGCCATAGGGAGCTGAGTGTTTAAACATTTTAAATAATTGTATCCCAAGCTAGGTTCCTTTTTCAGTTTTTATCCTAAAAGCAGTGAGAGAAGCATTTCTTTCATTGAAGAGGGGATACCAGCATGAGTCTTGAAGAATAAACAGAAGGATTTCAATACCAGAAAAGCAGAGGGAGATAAGCATTCCAGGTGAAGAAACCACCATGCAAGGTGGGGAGTGTAGCAGAAGACAATCAATGTGGCTAAAACAGAGTGCACATAAATGACCTCGGCTATCTGAGTGAGGAATTTACACTTAATTATGTAGGCAATGGGAGGCAGTGGTAGTTTTGAGTAGGCGAGTAGCCTGACTAGTGCTACACTTCAGAAAAATAAATTGGGATGAGGACAATAATGTGATACCCTAATCAATAAAGAAATTTAAAAAAAGAAGAAGAAGAAAGAAAAATAAATCTGCCAGTAATGCTGAGGGTGCAAGGGAGTGGAATAGGCTGAAGACAGAAAACCTAATGAGGAGGCCTGTCCACACTGTGGATGAAAGGTAACAAGGCCATAAAAACACCACCTTACACTTTCCAGCTCCAGGTCCCTCCACCCCATCCATTCCCAATACCTGAAATGTTCTATCCTGCCCCACCACAATCTGCCAAACCTCACCTAATATTATTCTCAGGGCTTTAAGACCTAATACTGGTTAATACTTCCTATATGCTATAGGGAGTTGAGTGTTTAAATAATCTCTTTTAAACAAAAAGCTCAATGTATTAGCAACATTAACTATTCATATAAAAATATTGCAGATATTAAAGATTTCTTCTAATGGTTTAATTTTGGAACCACTGGATAAAAGAACATCTAAATTATTTCAGAGACTATGAGAGAAATTGCAACACATTTCAAATAGTACTACTTATACCAACATAAGAATGACTGAAAGTAGATATCATTTTATTTCATTTTCAGCTAGTAGTTTCACACATCCCATATGAACAATGTAATTGATAAATGTATGAGAAGCTAAAATGGTAGCATCATGCATACAATGATTTTAATTACAGATTCACTATACCTCTTCATTTGATAACTGTGCTGAAGATTCTTCATGAGTTAAAGCACACACTACTGGTAGTTTCACTTCTTCCTCAACCTCTGTTTTTTTGTGGTCCTTTCTCTTATTAAGTCTTTGTTGTTCATCTTCCTCCTAAAAGTTAGAAAGAAAAATAATGTACATTACCCAGTAATCTACATTTAATGATTCCTATAATTCTTTAACTGCTCAAAACAAAAATGAACAAGAACTTTATAAGGAGAGAAAACTGGACACTTAAGTTTTTGTAATCACATCTAAGGGCATCTTGTCAAAACAAAATATTTTATTTATATATTTTAAATATATATTGATTTCAGAGAGGAAGGGGGAAGGGAGAGAGATAGAAATATCAATGATGAGAGAGAATCACTGATCAGCTGCCTCCTACACTCCCCACACTGGGGATTGAGCTGGCAACCCAGGCATATGCTCTGACAGGGAATCGAACCGTGACCCCCTGGTTCATGGATCAATGCTCAAACACTAAACTATGCTGGGCAAAACATTTTAATATTATAGGCACAAAATATGAACCGTAATAAAAGGAAGAAATCAGGAAATAGCTTCCATGTGAAAGGCGAAACAAAAGAAAGCAAACTGGCCATGGCTGATTTGGCTCAGTGGAATGGTGTGTCGACCCTCAAACTGAAGGATCTTGGGTTCAATTCTGGTCAAGGGCATATACCTCATTGTAGACTCAATCCCTGGCTCTGGTCAGGGCATGTGCAGGAGGCAACCAATTATGTGCCTTTCTCACTTCAATGTTTTTGTCTCTCCATCTTTCCCCCTCCCTTCCTCTCTCGAAAAAGAAAGCAAGCCTCTCATCTTCTTCAAATGATCCAAGAAAGAAACTTTGCATAGAACAGTCCTTCAGATCACTGTAGAAAATTAACAGGAGTATTATTTACCATTAGAAAGATGTACAGCCCAAACCGGTTTGGCTCAGTGGATAGAGCGTCGGTCTGCGGACTGAAAGGTTCCAGGTTTGATTCCGGTCAAGGGCATGTACCTTGGTTGTGGGCACATCCCCAGTATGGATTATGCAGGAGGCAGCTGGTCGATGTTTCTCTCTCATCAATGTTTTTAACTCTCTATCCCTCTCCCTTCCTCTCTGTAAAATATCAATAAAAATAGATAGATAGATAGATAGATAGATAGATAGATAGATAGATATACAGCCCTGACCGTGTGGCTCAATGGTTGGGTGTCAGCCCATGTACCAAAAGGTTGCTGGTTGGATTCCCAGTTGGGGCGCATGCCCAGGTTTCAGGCTCCATCCCCAGTGAGTGCTGTGTAGGAGGTGGGCAATTGTTTGGCTCTCACATTGATGTTTCTCTCTCTCTCTCTCTGCTCTCTTCCCCTTCTCTCTAAAAATCAATTTAAAAATCTTTTTTAAAAAGTGCAAAAATTTATATGAAATACCAAAGGAATTATTGAAGTAAATGTAGTCATTCACTCAAAAATGAGTAAGGTACTTTTAATGCCTAGAGGGAAGAGACAAACTCACAAATAATTGCAATACTATACAAGTATGGTTTTTTTTGACTGATTTCATTTGAGGGAGCCAGAAATTCAGCTGGATCCTAAAGGTTCAGTAATACAAGTTTGCCAATTCTGTGAGAGCAGATAAGCAAGGCTTCCAGGGGAAAAGGACATACATACAAAAGTACAGGGCACAGGCAGCCATCTGAGAGAATTCTGAATAACCTGATGTGACTGAGCACATGAGAAGTGAGGTATATGGAAGAGGGGTGGTGACTAAGTGCCTATACTCTGAAATAAGAGACTGGCCATTACTCTCTACCTGGCCTGGATTAACATACTCCAAGAGCCATAGGAAAACTGGACAGAACTATAGAGAAATAATTTCTCAGAAATATGCACTGTTGCATACTGCATTCTGAAGCAGATCATTTCTAAACATGTGACCTCAAGATAAGGCCATTTCTAAAGTTGAAAAACAAAACCCCTCAAATGTACCTATGTTTGTTGAAATGGCATATATCACCTTATTTCTGGATTAAGTAAGTCTCTAAGATACATAAAGTAATGCAGTCACATGTATGTGAATGAGTGAGAATGCATTATTAACAAAGCAAGCAAGTCCTATAAAAATGCTACTCACCTGATCTTTCTTCTTCAGTTCTTCAACTTGTCGGAGCTGTTCTGAAGTTAACACAATCTCCATTCTCTGCATGTCCCTCATCAGCAAACGTTGAGATTCCAGAAACTGGTCATTGGCCTTCTGCCACGTATGTTTTAACTGATTGTGTTGTTGTCGCTCTTGCTCCAAAAGATGGCAAACTATAAAAATCCCCCAATCAAAAACCCTGAATTTCAATGATAGGCAATACAGCATTTCCCAAATTTCTTTGACAAAAAATTTTTTGCCACAGTGCCATCACATGACAAATGTTCTAGGGCAGCAGTTGCCAATCTTTCGGACCTCATGGACCACCCACCAGTGGTCCACAGACCACCAGCTGGTGACTGCTATTCTAGGGAATATACTTTGGGCAATGTTGCTCTAAACATCAAAGGTTTAGTAACTACTCATAAAGCTGTTACCCAGGAATCCTTCTTAGCCCATTTAGTTTTGATCTCTCAAGCTAAGTCAAAGAATCTTTGTAAATGCTGGTATTGTTGATATTTATCAGCTCAACCTAAGCAAGAAACAAGAGACAACTCACATTTCTGACTTTTCTTGCCTCAGAAGCTGATTAATGAAACAGTAACTTACTAACGCTGCCTCCTGTGCAGTATGACACAGCCATCTTCTGCCTTAGATCAGCCATCATAACTTAGACAACTACAACAGCAGTCCCTTTGTTATTCTTCCTGCCATCATTCTTACCGTCTCTATTCTATCCTCCACCCTGCTGTTTAAATTGAACTTTCTAAAATGCAAAATTAATATTATCACTTGCAAATTTAAAACCCTTCAGAGAAGACCATAATTATATAATCTTATTTATACAGGAATCCAGAATAGGCAAATCTATAGAGATAGAAAGTAGGTTAGTGGTTGCCAGGGACTGGGAGGGAAAAGAGAATAGGGGATGTTTGGCAATGGATACAGAATTTTGGGGGGGAAATAAAAAAAAATATTCTGAAATTAGAACTGTACACTTTAAAAGAATGAACTTCATGGCATGCAAATTACATCTCAATAAAGTTATTTAAAAAAAAAAAAAAGATTTAAAACCCTTCAGAGGCTCCTTTCTGCCCATAGGATAAAATCCAAAATCCCTAGCCTAAGGTGTGGCGTAGTCCACACCTACCTCTCCTGTTTCACATTTTGCATGCTACACTTCTTCTGCATGCTACACTTCTTTTGCATGCTACACTTCCTTACCTTGCTGTAGCTGTACCACAAGCAAATGACCTTGAATATTATGTTCATCATTAACAAATAAATACCTACCAATCTTCCAAAACTCCACTTAAGAACAACTTCTTTGGCCCTAGCTGATTTAGCTCAGTGGATGGAGCATCAGCCTGTGGATTGAAGGGTCCTAGGTTTGATTCCAATCAAGGGCAAATGCCTGGGTTGTAGGCTCAATCTCCAGTAGGGGGCGTGCAGGAGGTAACCAATCAGTGATTCTCATCACTGATGTTTCTCTCTCCCTCTCCCTTCCTCTCTGACCTCAATAAAAATCAAAAAATAATTGTAAAGAAAGAACAACTTCGAAGAAGCCTATCTGTGACACTGCTGCCTCCTACCACATTCCAATCCTAGCACCTCTGATATGCAATTGTACTAATTTGGTTGTACTGTATATCTAATTCCACCAATTTAGGCTGCTGCTTACTCTTTGTCTTCTTTTCATTCAAATACTATTTTTGGTAGTTTTCAGTATGGAAATTACTCTATCCACATACTCAGATACTTTTCCAGATATATTAGGAAAGTTTGTCAATCTTATACTATTTCTGGAAAGTTTGGGCACATAGTTTAAATAGCAATAACAATTTTTTTTTAATATATCCTTTCAGAGTTTGGATGTCTTTTTCACTGCAGCAGCACATTTGAAAAATGTTTCCTGAAAGCCAAACACTTGCTCGAACTTTGAGTTATTTTCATAACATTTTATGAAATAATTCTGTACACTTATTTCAGCTTTCTACTATTTAGGAAAAAAACTCATTTGCAAACCTAAATTATTTACAGAAGAGTATATGTTTCATAGCATTTGCTATACCTAAAAGTATTCATTGTAGGACTCTATCAATATAGAACTAAACCTGCATATTAAAATGTGTTACTAAAAAAATAAATAAATGTGTTTCTAGCATAGCCTGAAACAAATATAAGATTTCAATGGAGTGCATATAATTGGATGAGGGGGGGAAATTAGATTTTTACTTACTCTAACTGAATTTTTTTTTAATGTATATTTTTTTATTGATTTTACACAGAGAGGAATTGAGAGGGATAGAGAGATAGAAATGTCAATGACAAAGAAACATCGACCAGCTGCCTCTTGCACACCCCCACGAGGGATGTGCCCGCAACCAAGGTACGTGCCCTTGACCGGAATCGAACCCAGGGCCTTTCAGTCCGCAGCCCAAAGCTCTATCCATTGAGCCAAACCGGTTCTGCTACTCTAACTGAAATTTATCATTTCCTTCAATTAATGTAGGAAACCAACCACAGTAAATATAATAATACCTATGACCTGATCACCAACAGAAGCCACAGATATCTTTATATTAAGATATATATTATATTGATATTTTATATATATATATAAAACTTATGCTCATCAATACTTCAAAATTATGTTATTAGACCTGCTAGAACTAGTTATTTAATTTATTATTGCAATAGCAAATTCATTACTATATCACTTGTTATTTAATGCATTATTGCAATAGCACATTCATTACTATACCACATATAATTGGTTTCTTTTATAACCCTATGTATTTTATGGATTAAACACATTATTCTTAAATGGATTCACAAAATTCCCAAGAGTCCATGACACAAAAAAGTTAAGAACCCCAAGTGTACAGGAACAGTAGAAGAATTAAAGACAAAAGTATATTTTTACTTAAATGAGGAAAAGATGAGCCTTCTTCCTTTGTCCTGGGAAAATAGTCAATTTCTGCATCTCCTCTCTGCTACCAAACTAGTGATATCAAAATTATCTCTTATAAACAGGGATGTTACTAAAGAACACCAGAATACATTATTTGTATACATCACTTTTGCTAATCCATCTCCATCAAAATGCGTCCAGGGCAAAAACAGTTTAAGCAGTAGTTCCCAGCCCCATTATCTTTCAGCCAAGAGCTCATGCCCCGTGAAGTTATCACTGGGTCCTGTAAGAAAGAGAACCCACTAATGATCTAACTATCTTTAGCAGACCTCAAATCTCCAGATTTTCATGGGAATATTCAAACCAACTGCGAAAGCTTAAATTAAATCATTAATATGTTGGAATAGCATTTTAAGATTTGTTACTGTTTTGTTCATCAGTATCATAGTTCTCTTAGAAACTAAGATAAAAAATATATAGTATATATATTTACCTTCATGCAATTCTTTTCGCAGTTTCTCAGCATCTTCCTGCAGAACGGATTTCTGAGTATTTAAAACAGCTACGTACATTTCTAGGTCAGTCCTACAAGATTTCTCAGCCTCCAGATAATGATTCAGTTCTTTAACCTGAAAGAAGATACATTCTATTAAACTAAAATTTACACACTTATATAGGAAATTGGGGGAATAACTAATAGTAGGCATTATCCATAATCAAAACACGAGAGTAACTATACAATGGAGATTGCACATAAGTTTTATACCTTCTTTTCAAAAAGGTAGTTCCAATTTGTATTTCCAGAGCTACACAAACATATGTTGATTTTATCTTTTTTTTTTTTAATATATTTTATTGATTTTTTTACAGAGAGGAAGGGAGAGGGATAGAGAACTAGAAACATCGATGAAAGAGAAACATCAACCAGCTGCCTCTTGCACACCCCTTAACTGAGGATGTGCCCGCAACAATGTACATGCCCTTGACCGGAATTGAACCTGGGACCTTTCAGTCCGCAGACCGACGCTCTATCCACTGAGCCAAACCGGTTTCAGCTGTTCATTTTATCTTATTCTCAGTAAAAACTAGGCTGTTTTTATTTTAGACAGTAGTTACTTTATAAAGTTAAAAATAGTACCATACCCTATAAAGTTTGCTTTTCTTTGATTTTTAATGCGATAATTACAAATGCATTAATTTATAAAAAGGAGACATTTTCACAGACACATATTCATGGAAGGAAAAATGAGAAAGTCATGAGGAAAATAACTGGTCTTATACCATAACAAATACGAACATGAAGGCAAATGCAGAATACTTTTTAAAATCACAAAATTAAAAAAAAATTGTTTTACTTCTGTTTAGCAATCAATAATAATGTTCAAATGTTAACAATTCAGTCTAAATCTGAAATAGTTATAAACAAAATAAAATGCAATCTTGCCCTGGAAAGTGATTACAGAATTACCTGTTCTACCCTGCCTAAGAGACTGTCCATTCGTTGGCTTTTAGTTAACTTTCATGTGGCATTACAAATCGTTTTCCTAATGATTATGTCTAAATTTAATTTTCAAGGTCATTATCATGCCTTTTATCTTCCCACTTCTTTAAACATGAAATAGCTCAATGATCTGTTTTCAGTTATCTTTATTCCTAGATATTAATTCAATACAGTAAAACTGGTCACAGACTAAAATAATTATTTAAAGCTGCCATTTGATGCTTCACTGGAGGTTGTCAGCCAATCAGAAAGATACTAACCAAGCATGACAAAGTGCTGGCTGTTGTAAGGCATTTTCCTATTACCTGGAGAGAGTGATTGTTCAGTTGATAGTAAAGAGTCAATGCAGCAGATACAAAATAATGGCACATACCACTAACTCTGCCAGTTATTACTTCTTAGAACAAATATTTGACTCAATTAACATTACATTTCTAACATTCAAAAGTTATTGAGCAGGACTCTGGGAAAATAGTGGCAATGGTGGTATAGTACATGAATTTCCTTGAACTCCACATGTCCTAAACAAGAGTTAATTAAAATTAGAAAACCAGCCCTGGCTAGTGTGGCTGGGTTAGGCATCATTTGCCAGTTGGATTTCCAGTCAAGTAAGTAGGGGGGCGTGCAGGAGGCAGCCAATCCATCTTTCCCACTCACATTGATGTTTCTTGCTCTCTCCCCCTCTCCCTTCTCTCTCTAAAAATCAATTTTTAAAAATCTTTACAAAAATAAAATAACAACCCAGTCAATTGATGATTTTCTCTCCTTTTCTCTCTCTGAAATCAATAAAAATATATATTTTAAAAAACAAAACCAAAAACACATGGATATCTAAAAGAAAACAAAACCAAGTGACAAACAGAATATGGGGAAAAACCACTGAAAGCTATCTATATGTGACTTATGTGGTACCATCATCTACAAGAGAAAGTAACAATTTGTAACAAGAACCCCAAGAACCCCCTAACAGTCAACAGGGGCTCCAACTTGACACAGCAGCTAAAACTGGGAAAAGTCCCACACAAACAGGGAGTGAACACATTTTTTTTAAGAGACAGAGGGGAGAACAGAGATAAATAGAAACATCAATGAAAAACATCATCAATCAGCAGCCTCCTGCACGCTCCCCCACTGGGGACAGAGCTCGAAACCTGGGCATGTGGCCTGACTGGGAATTGAACCAGTGACTCTTGGTTCCTGGATCAACACTCAACTGGTGAGACACACTGGCCAGGCTAAACACAACAAATTTGTAATGTAATCTGGTTAGGATAAAATGGTATCCCATTTTCACTTACATTACCCTGATTTCCAGTGAAGTTCAATATTTTTTCACATTCTTTGACTATTGTGATTTCCTCTTTTATGAACTGCTTGTTCCTATTCTTATTTCTCAACTGGGCCATTTGTCACTTGAGGGCTAAGCAATTTTTATTAAGTCTGGATACTAATCTTTTGTCAGGTATTTGAGGTATAGATACATAACTTCTAAGTGTACAGCTCTTCAACTTTAGGAGTGACATCTTGTAAAAAGAAGTTTTATATTCTAAGGTACGCAAATTTGTCAATCATTTCTTTCACAGTCAATATTTTTGTCTAAAGAAATGTTTTGTCCTCCAAACATTCCCCTTTTTTAACATAAAAAGTTTTAAAGATTTACTTTTCACTCTTAAGGTTTTTAATTCATTAAAATTATTTGTAGCCCTGACCGGTTTGGCTCAGTGGATAGAGCGTCAGCCTGCGGACTGAAGGGTCCCAGGTTCGATTCCAGTCAAGGGCATGTACCTTGGTTGCTGGCACATCCCCAGTGCGGGGTGTGCAGGAGGCAGCTGATCAATGTTTCTCTCTCATGGATGTTTCTGACTCTCTACCCCTCTCTCTTCCTCTGTGGAAAATCAATAAAACATATATTTAAAAAATAAAAAACAAAAAAATTATTTGTAAAGTATGAGGTAGAAAGTTTATTTCACTTAATTCCATATTTATAACTAATTATTTTAAAAGCCTATTTTTTTAATTAATTAATTTATTTTTTTTACATATTTTAATGATTTTTTTTGCCCCCCTCCCTCCCTCCCCCATAGCCCCTCCCTCCCCATAGTTTTATGTCCATTGGTTGTACTTATATGCATGTATACAAGTCCTTCGGTTGATCTATTATCTCCCCCAGATCCTCCTCCCCTCCCCGCTGTAATTTGACAATCTGCTTGTTGCTTTACTGTCTCTATATCTATCTTTTGGTTCATCAGTTTATAATGCTCTTTATTATCCACAAATGAGTGAGGTCATGTGGTGTTTCTCTTTCATTGATTGGCTTATTTCACTCAGCATGATGTTCTCCAATTCCATCCAGGTTGCTGCAAATGATGAGAATTCCTTCTTCTTTATGGCAGCATAGTATTCCATTGTGTAGATGTACCATAGTTTTTGGATCCAATCATCTGCTGACGGGCACCTAGGCTGTTTCCAAATTCTGGCTATTGTAGATTGTGCTGCTATGAACATAGGGGTGCATATATCCTTTCTGATTGGTGTTTCTAGTTTCTTGGGATATATTCCTAGGAGTGGGATTACTGGGTCAAATGGGAGTTCCATTTTCAGTTTTTTGAGGAAACTCCACACTGTTCTCCACAGTGGTTGCACCAGTCTGCATTCCCACCAGCAGTGCACGAGGGTTCCTTTTTCTCCGCAACCTCGCCAACACTTGTCGTTTGTCGATTTGTTGATGTTGGCCATTCTGACAGGTTAAAAGCCTATTTTTTAACAACCCTTTCTTTTCCCACTGATTTGTAATGCCACGTGTCATATATCTAAATTTCATATGAATCTATTTCAGGGTTCTCTAATCTGGTTCATTGGTCTATTTGTTTATCCCTAAGTCAATAACAAACTACCTTAATTACAGTAGCTTTACAATGTGTTAATATCTGGTAGATAGGGCAATTCTCCTCACCTGTCTTCTTAAAATTTTGCTGGATACATTTCTGATCCTTTGCTTGTCTATATGAATTCTAGGATCTACTTACCAACTTTCTTTTTTTTTTTTTTTTAATTCATAATATTTTTTTTTTTTAATATATTGTATTGATCCAACTTTCTTATTGAATTTTTAGTGGAATTTTGAATTTATAGATTATTTTCCGGATATACTGTCTGCTTGTTTTGGTTGTCACAAGGTAGTTTTATTTACTTGCAGTAAGAGAGACAGGAGATTCACATTCAAAGCTCTGTCTCCTTGAAGAAGAAGCCTTAGCCATTCCTTATATACAGTTTGGTTAATTACACATTGATTTCTTCTTTGCAGTTGGCTACATTTTCCATTGAGCTCCTATTAAGCTCATCCTGTTTACAACTGCACCTGCAAAATATTCCATGACAACCCAAGGCTCCTAAGTATATGCCTGCTTTACAATACATTATCTTTTCATTAAGGAACACACATGTATTCAATCTTCATTTTTAATACAGGGGGGGCAAAAGTACATTTACAACTGTCTGTACACAAAAGAGTTTATTCTTGTATTATTATTTATTAATTATTGTATTATTTTCCGTACAAATAACTGTAAACCTACTTTTGCTCCACCCTATACACTCCATAAAGATCTTGCCCATTTCTGTTTAGATGTATTCTAGATAAATTACAGTGGTGCCTCACACAACGAACTTAATTCGTTCCAGGAGCAAGTTTGTTATGTGAAAAGTTCGTTATGTGAAACGTGTTTTCCCATAACAATACATGTTAAAAAAAATAATTCGTTCTGCAGCATAAAATATGCTAAGATGACATAAAAAAAGATAAATTTTTTGTTATTATTTTTATTTAGATACATCTAAAAACATAATTTTTTTTAAAAAAAAACACACATTTTTTTAATTTTAAGACAGACTAAGTAGAGTCTACCGAATCTTGCACATCTTCATCCATTTTCTGCTTTTTGGCCGATGGTTTCATGAAAAACCTGTCCAAAGTCGTTTGTTTTTCTCTTTTCTCCAACATCTGCCGGAAATAACGGACAAGAGTATCGGAGTAAAGATCGTTGATCCTGTTTGCTTCAGCTGAATCCGGATAGTGGGCATTGGTAAACTCCTGAACTGCTTTCCATTTGACCAGGATGTTCTTGATGTCAGCAGTTGGGATTGGTTGGTTGTTTGATTGTTGCTCCTCGTTATCAGATGACGCTTCCCTTTGAGCATTGTCCTGTTGCTGGACCAGAAGTGCTTGGAGCTCTTCAGTTGTCAGCTCTTCTTCGTGTTCCTCAATAAGCTCCTCTACATCCTCTTCCTCTACCTCTAATTCCAACCTTTGGGCCACTGTGATGATGTCCTTCACCACTTCTGTGTCATCAACTACTGCTTCTTCCTGGGTCCACGAAGGCACAAGCATCTTCCAAGCAGAAATGAGGGTCCTTTGTGACACTTCTTCCCAGACCTTCTGTATAAGTCGTATTGCCATAAGGACATCAAATTTCTCCTTCCAAAACTTTCGGACAGTCATATTGTCTCCACCAAACTCGCATTCTTCAAACACCTTATTAAAGAGGGCTCTAGTGTAGAGTTTTTTAAAGTTCGCAATAACTTGCTGATCCATTGGCTGAAGATTGGATGTGGTGTTTGGTGGAAGCTCGGGCGAAGCAGTCGTGGAAGCTTGGGCAAAGCGGTCGTGGAAGCTCGGGCGACTTCGTTGTGTGAAACGAAGTTCGTTGTATGAATCATGAAATGAAGTTTGTTGTGTGCAGCGTTCGCTGTGCGAGGCGTTCTTTATGCGAGGCACCACTGTATATAAAATAGTCCCCCATATCTGTGGGGGTACATTCCAAGACCCCTAGTGGATGCCTGAAACCAAGGATAGTACCTAACCATATACACAGTATATTTTTTCTTATACATACATACATATACTTTGTAGCTTCTCTTTGGCATATCTAAATTGTTAGTAACACTACTGTTGTCTTTTGGGGCATTAATTAAAATAAGGGTTACTTGAACTTAAGCACTGTTATACTGCAGTGTGATACTGAAAACTGAGACAACTACTAAGTGACTAACAGGCAGGTAACTGATATAGCATGGATATGCTGGACAAAGTGGCGGAATAGTGGGAAGATGTGCGATTTGGCCGAGACTGGTTTGGCTCAATGGATAGAGTGTAGGCCTGCAGACTCAAGGGCCCCAGGTTCGATTCCAGTCAACGGCATGTACCTGGGTTGCGGGCACATCCCCAGTGGGGGGTGTGCAGGAGGCAGCTGATCGATGTTACTCTCTCATTGATGTTTCTAACTTTCTATCCCTCTCCCTTCCTCTCTGTAAAAAATCAATAAAATATATTAAAAAAAAGAAGAAAAAAAGATGTGTGATTTTATCACCTCAGAACAACAAACAATTTTATCACCTCAGAACAGCACTGACCTATGAATCAGGAGATCACGGTTCAATTCCAGGCCAGGGTACATGGCCGGGTTGTGGGCTCAATCCCCAGGGTGGGGCAGGAGGCAGCCAATCAATGATTCTCTTTCATCATTGGTCTTTTGTTTTGTTTTGTTTTTCTCTCTCTCTCCCTTCCTCTTTGAAATCAATAATATATATATATATAAATAAAAAACTGAATGAGATCAGGTCTCATTCTGACTAGAAAATAAACACTAACTTTGTAACAAAGCAGCATCAGCATCACTATTGTGACTGCTTATAATACGAGAACAAAATCATCTTCTGGCATTTTTTAACATTTTAAAGAAAGTAAGATTCTCAAGATAAATAGTCTAAATTATAGTTTTTACCCTCTTAATGATTCTAACTTTGCCCTTGGCATAGAGTAGCACTTGGGTTTTAAGAAAATGAATAACAATGTTTCACAACCTTTGAGGCTTCCAGCTCTTTAACCTTGTCTTCAGCCTCTGTCAGTTTATCTTTCAAAGCTGCAATTTCCTTCTCCATGGGCATCACAACAGACCGAAGTTTTTCAGCATCTTCTTGGGCCTATGGTTAAAAAGAATTAAGTACTTCAACTTATTGATTTATTGCTTTTCTAAGAAATGACCTACCCACTTATTAAAATTAGTAATAATAAGTAAGTCTTAAAGCACTCACAAAAGTGAACCATGTCTAACTTTAAATGTTGCATTACTTTAAATGTCAAGTCATAATCATAGTTTTGCATGTATTCCATGTAGAATTTAAAAGAAAATGAATTCACCATGACACTTTTGACTTTTTAATTAATTGAGTTGGAAAATATTCTATGTGTAAAAGGAATACACACAATATTTTTTTTATAATTCTGGTTACTAAATTAATGAAAACATAATTTCTTACAACTACTGAAAAGACTATTTTTTAAACATTAAAAAATAGAACAATGTATTTTCTAAAATAATTAGAAAATTATATTGCTACATAAAAGGCTTTCATCTGGTTATTTAAACAGAGAACTTAAAAAATCTTTTTACTTTGACATTTAAATGAAAGAAACTCAAAGAATGACCTCTAAATATATTGTGCTGTTTTGCATCCTTCATTCTCAAAAAGGATTAAAAGAAAATAAGATTCATTAGCTAGTTAACTGGTGAGAAACTTACATATATTTAAATATAAAAGGCTAAGCAACCGGTTGACTGGCCAGTAGCTAGGACACACACTGACCACCAAGGGGCAATGCTCAATGTTGGGGCTATCAAGCTTTGGTGACTTGGCAGCAGCGGTTCTCGGGTAACGCACCCAGAACCAGAGAAGAGGGAGCCCGATTCCTCTAGCACTGTGGAACCCCACCGGAGATATTAGAAAGCCGGTTTCAACCTGATCCCCATAGGTCAGGCCAAGGGGTCCCACCTGATGGAGGGACCCCCACGCACTCTGCAGACGCCCTTCGAGCCGCAGTGCTGGCCCAGGTTTAGCCAGCAGGGGAGAGACCGTGGGAGGTTGGATCTAGGGTGTGTCCGACCCAGTCCCGCCCCACCAGCCACCACCCGGGAACGCCTGCATTAGTTCCTGCATCAGAGGGACTAATCAATTTCCTTCCAACATGCACAAACCCATGCAACAAGACACTAGAATATATATAACCTGAAATAAAGGCAGAAAGTTAGCTGTTTTCCTCATCTATCCATATAAAAGTCTAATATGCAAAGTATCCCCTCAGGAGTTCAATCCCTTGCTATGATGTGCAGTGACCATCAGGGGGCAGCACAGAACGAAGGAAGGCCCTAGCCAGCAGCCAGCACCCGGGGAAGGGAGGCCCCCGCCAGCAGCCAGAAGGAAGGCCCTTGCCAGCAGCCTTGCTTGGCCCTGATCACCAGCTAGGCCTAGGGACACTACCTGTGCACAGATTTCATGCACGAGGCCTCTAGCAGTAAAAAGAGAAAGTAACCTTATTCACTAAATATCATATATGCCCAAATGTGAATGAAGATTTTTTCCCTAGAAAACGTATTTCTCAGAAAAGAGAAGGATTCAATTTGTTTTCCAGTTTTTATAAAGTCAATTTATCACTTATTTTATTTCATACTAAGTCCTGTTTGGAAGGCATGTAAATTTAATTACCTTCAGTAAAGACTAATTGGTGATAGAAGTCAGCTGATAAAAATCAGCAGGAAAGCAAATGGAGGGGAAAAGCAAAGAATTTAATACAGATATAGTTATTTATTAATGCAAAGATGACCTCACAATTCCAAGTATTACATACCATCACAAATAAAAGTTTTTAAAGATTATTATTTCTTAATGACAGAAAAGTCATTAAAAAGAAGAAAAATCTGAGAAACTGTCACAGACAAGAGGAGCCTAAAGAGACATGACTAAATGTAATGTGGTATGCTGGATTGGTTCCTGAGACAGAAAAAAAAAGGCATTAGGGAAAAACTAATAAAAACCGAACACAAAGAATAGACTTTAACTAATAATAAATTAATATTGGCTTATTAACTGTGATAAATGTATCATACTAATATATCTATTAGTGTGCATGAAATTTGTGCATGAGTAGGCCTTCCTTCCCTAGGCTGCCAGTACTGGTTTCCCTCCGGCACCCAGGACCCAGGCTTTCATCGCAGCCCTGGCTTCATCCACAAGGTTGTCCAGAAGGATGTTTGGTCTAGTTAGTATATTACACTTTTATTATTACGGATACTAGAGCCCTGGTCCACAAAATTCATGCATGGGGAAGTGATTCAAGCCCAGCCTGCACCCTCTCACAGTCTGGGACCCCTCCTAAGCTGGCAGGCGGACATCCACTGAGGGGTCCTAAGCGCTGCTGCGGAGGGTAGAGAGGCTCCCATCACCACTGCTGTGCCTGCCAGCCAGAAGCTGGGCTTACCGCTCCTTAGCACTGCTATGGAGGCAGGAGAGGCCACCGTCACTGTGCTCACCAGCCATAAACCCAGCCTCTGGCTGAGCAGCGCTCCCCCTGTGGGAGCACACTGACCACCAGGGGACAGCTCCTACGTTGAGCATCTTCCCTCGGTGGTCAGTGTACATCACAGCAATTGGTCATTCCACCGTTTAGTCAATTTGCATATTAGGGTTTCATTATTTAGGATATATTACAGGCCTGATGCACAGACTTGTGCAAGAATGAGCCTTCCTTCCCCTGGCTGCCAGCACCACCTCACTCCAGCCCGGAGTTGCCTATCCGCCTTCCCACACTGCCCAGAGGCCCCAAGTGGCTGGGGCAGTGTGAAACGCCTGCATCCTGCCCTGGCCATTTGGTGCCTGTATATGCAAATTAACCCACCATCTTTGTTAGGTTAATTTGCATACTCACTCCTGATTGGCTAGTGTCGTGAAGGTATGGTCAATTTGCATCTTTCTCTTTTATTAGTATAGATACTATTTTGACATGTAATTTTTTTACAGTAATGTAATTACCACACGAATCTTTCTCCTAATTAATTTATTTCAATGTGCACAAATCCATGCACCAAGCCACTAGTAATGATAATAATAGGGAAAATTGGGTATGGAGTATATGGGAACTCTGTACTATCCTTAAAATTTTTCTGTAAATTAAAACTGTTCTAAAAAATAAAGTTTATTTTTTAAAATAAATTTTAAAAATGACAAAAAGTTAGGTATCACAATGGTCGCAGATTGTGGAAATCATGATTATGAACATACTAGAGACTCAGTGCATGAAAGTCAGACATTCCTCTCACAATCTGGGTCCACAGGCTCCTAACTGCTCACTTGCCTGTCTGCCCGTTCACCCCTAACTGCCCCCCCAATGACCTGGTCACCCCTAACTGCCCTCCCTGCTGGCCTGGTTACCCCCAACTGCTCCCCTACCATCCTGGTCATCCTTCACTGCCCCCCTCTACCAGCCTGGTTGCCCCTCACTGCCCCCACTGTGGTAGAGGGGGGCAGTGAGGGACAACCAGGCTGGGGCGGGGGAGCGCACCAGGCCAGCAGTGGGGGCAGAGAGGGGCAACCAGGCCAGTAGAGGGGGGCAGTGAGGAATGACCAGGCTGGTGGGGGGACAGTTGGGGGCGACCATTGTGATACCTAACCCGCCTGCTGCTGGTGGTCATGATCATCCCTGAGGGCTTTTCCTCCACTTCCCCCTGCTCCCGAGGGGCAATCTGGACAGGGGGAGGGCAGTTAGGACTGATCGGGAGGGACAGCAGGGGAAGGCAGTTGGAAGGGATCAGGCCTGCAGGGAAGGGCTGTTGGGGGCAACCAGGCCTGCAAGGGAAGGCATTAGAGGTGACCAGGCCGGCAGGAGAAGGCAGTTAGGTGTCAATCAGGCTGGCAGGGGAGTGGTGATCAAGTTGGCAGACAGAGTTGTTACGGGCAATCAGACAGGTGGGCAATCAGGTAGGTGAGTGGTTGGGAGCCAGCAGTCCTAGATTGTGAGAGTGATGTCTGACTGCTCGTTTAGGCCTTATCCCACAGGTCCCAGATTGAAGGGGGTGCAGGTTGGGCTGAAGGACACCCTCCTACCCCCTGTACATGAATTTCATGCATCGGGCCTCTAGTTAAGTAAAAATAATAAATAAGTGAATGCTACATATATTATAAAATATGCACTATGGAAAATGAAAAATTGGAATAGAATATGCGTAATCAGAGGACGACGGTGGATAGGTTGTAATGTTAAATAGGCTGGACAGGAGAGACCTCATGGGATATATTTAGTCAAAGTTTTGAAGAAGGTAAGGGAGTTTCCCATACAAATATTTGTGGAAAGGGCATCAAATTACCCAGTACTATAGTTAGGTTTGTGTCCAAATAATTCCTCTAACAAAAAAAACATAAAAATCTATCTTCTGTTACCACAATATTAAAACATCTTGCATTTGGATTCAAGTATATTTACAGATAAATACATTCCTTCATACCTTTTTCATTTCATTCTCTAAATTTTCTTCCTCTTGACCTTCAGACAACCTTCTCCTTAAATCGGCTATTTCCCTCTCTGCAGATTCTCGATACTGTGCCCACTGTGTTCGTTCCTGCTCCAGGCGAAGGTGGAACTGGTGCTCATAATCACGAACTGTTTCTATAAAACACCACCAAGTATTTCATGTCTAAGCATTATGAAAAAAATGTTCTGGTACACTAAAATTTAAGTAGTTACATAAAGAGCTTTTGTCTGATTTCTGGAAATCTTTTAATTCACTAAAAAATTTAACAACATTTCTAGTTATTATGTGTAAAAATGTTACTATGGGCTTTAAATCATCATCTCTAATCTTCAAATAAACCTGTGTCATATTATTTTAGAGATGAGGAAAGCTTAGGAAAGGTAACATATTCTCGCCAATGTTTGCTTTTCTAAGACAGACTGAAGGAGGAGCAGTCATTTTCAGCCATGAGGCAAAGTGAGGTTGAAAACCACATACTAAGGAAGAAGGAACAGAATGAAGACTAGAACACTAGGAACATTGTGGAATCACTGTAACCAGCTGTAGATTACCTACCTCTGGGTTTCTTCTTCTGTGAGTAAAATGAACTCCTATTTGTGTAAGCCACTATAATCGCTAAGTGATAACCACAAACTCAGAAATAGGGCTAGACTTAACTATCCTTCTTAAAAGAGCAGTAATGCAGAAATGACACACAACTGGTAAGTCAGAAGAAGAAAAGTTATCACTATTTCACATTTATAATAAAACTAATTTCAGGAACCCAAAGATTCAGCAGCAACTTCATTTTAATATCATCTTCTCAGAAATTGCAGAAAGTAATTAAGCAGTATATGCCAGCAGATAGAGACTTAAATTACTACTCTTCCTTTAGACCAAGGGTCACAAGCTGGCAGCCCATAAAGCCTATTCTAACCCATTGGCCATTCTATTTCACAAACTACAGAAAATTTTCCCACATAAAACCTAAATTTTTCTTAAAATTGTAAAAGACATGACAACACTGGACTGGATGGGCAATAATTAGCTGGAATAAGTATAAATAATAAGTTTACTCTTTGCATTGGAGATCTCTCCAGTTCTACATACTCCCGTGCCCATACAGCTTTATTCATTGGCATTGCCCAACTCTTCTTCCGGTATGGCTCAGTTTGTTGGAGTGTCGTCTCAAGCACTGAAGAGTTACAGGTTTGATTCCCAGTTAGGACACATACCCAGGTTTCAGGTTCAATACCCAGTTGAGGCATGTACAGAATGAATATTTCTCCCTCACATCAATATTTCTCTTTCTCTCTCTCTTTCCCTTCCTCTCTAAAATCAACTAATCTTTGGGTAAAATTATACACACACACACACACACACACACACACACACACACACACACACAGAAACATATAGCTACAAATGAAACCCTGAAAATGTTCTCAAACATCAGAATCAGGTAGCTTAAAAATCATAAAACAGATCAACCATTCTTTACCTTTCATAACAGCCTGAAGTGAAGCAACTTCTTCTCTCCACTGTCTTTTTACTTCATCTATAGCTTCTTGTTTGGTATTCTCAGAGACTGTGGCAATGGCCTTGATATTCTCCATTTCTGCTTGTGCTTCCCACAGCTGTGTTCGAAGGTGTCCCAAATCATCTTGTGCAGCTTGTAACACTGCATTTTGTCTCTTCAGATCCTCTGGAAGAAAAGTAAAACACTTTCCATTATGGAGGGGCTCACTTTTATCAGACTGGCACTACAATGAAGAAACAAAGCATTTAAATTTAAAATGTTAACATCGTAATGAACAAGTAAGGAATTAAATTTAAAAATATTAAGTTAGAAAATAAAATAATTTTAATAAAGATTTAAGGTATGCTGGATATCAAAAATCAATTATTAACTATGAAACCAGATAAAGATTCAGGCCATAGTTCTAGAGCTAAATGAGCTTACTTAATCTCTATGGCCTCCATTCCACATCTTATAAAATTCCCACCTCAGAAGGTTGTTTTAATGATAAAACAACTTATTGAAAATGATTTCTAGTACGGTACCTTACACAAGTAGACATTCAAGAAATGGTTCATAAAAGAAAGCATGGCAATTACTAGATCCAAGTTTTTAAAGTTATAATTTATCAGCCTCCCCTTACCATCTACACTAATAAAAGAGAAACATGCAAATTGACCATTACTCCGCTACGCCCACCAGAAGAGAATATGCAAATTAGAAAGATAAAGATAGAGGCCGCCCAGCTGCTCCAAGTGCAGAGTGGCCAGGCTGGGCAGGATGCCTGCTATGAGAGGTAGGGCAAAGGGGCGAAGAGATCTACAGGAGCAGCACTCCAGCTGCAGCAACAAAGACTGCAGACTCCGGAGTCTGCAGCAAAAACGAAGAAGACTGCAGTGAAAATGAAGAAGATAAGACTCCAGCTGGAGCGAAGGCCTGGGTCCTGGGTACCAGAGGAAAGCCTGTGCTGGGAGCCATGAGAAGGAAGGCCTATTGCACGAATCTCTTTATGCAATGGGCCTCTAATCTATCTATATAAAACCCTAATATGGATATAGACCAATCACCTGGGGCACACACGGAACATGGCGGGCATTGGCCACAGGCGACAGAGTGTGGAACATGGTGGGTGTCAGCCGTGGTAGGATGGTGGAGCAGGAAAGTGGGGCTGCCCGACCATACTAGCATCAGTAAGCATTTCCAACCCAGGGCTGAATTCTGTGAAGCCTAAGAACAGTAGCTTTCAAACTTCTTTGATCACAACTCATAGCAAGAAATATATTTCATATCACATACACATATACATACACATATAACTAAAACAAAAAATTTGTGCAACCAGCCGAGACCGCTTTAGCTCTTGGAGACTGAAAGGTCCCGGATTCGATTCCAGTCAAGGGCATGCACCTTGGTTGCGGGCATATCCCCAGTAGGGGATGTGCAGGAGGCGGCTGGTCGATGTCTCTCTCTCATCGACATTCCTAGCTCTCTCTTTCCCTTCCTCTCTGTAAAAAATCAATAAAAAACATTTTTTTAAAAAATTTGTGCAACCATACATACTTAACCTTATCAAATATAATGTGCTATTTTATTTCCCATTATATTCTTATTTTTAAAAATTGCTGTTCACATCCCCTCAATTTTTTTATCCATCAATGACTTACAATCTGTAGTCTGAACTCCTTCACTTTGAAAACTAATGTTTCAAAGTGATGAAAACAGTAGTTTTCAAAGTGCCCATGTACCCCTGCGGATATACAAAGATTTTCCAGGGGATTCATAGGCACATGATGTTTTAAAGAAATCCACTTCTAGATCCTCAAATTTCATAAATATTCTTTCCTAAAATAGAGAGGTGTTTAAATGTAGATCCTCCTTGCTCACTCACTACCCTTTTCTTAACACCTTTCTCCCACTTAACAAAAAAAAAAAAAAAAGGCTTTTTATCCATCCTGAATTTTACTATGGTTCACTGCTCTGTTGCATTAAAACTCTCTGATACCAAACCAGAGAAACAATTTAAAATACTAATTTCAGTACTAAAAAAGTGAATGACTAGTAACTGAGTAACACATCTTTTGGCAGATCAGGTGACAGTCTGCTTTCGACAAAACTGAAGGAAGACTTAATTGAGTTGTCAACCAATAGAATAAAAATATTTTTGAAGCTAGAACACTTTGTGATTTAACATATAATTCAGAAAGTTAAATGAATGGAATAATAATTGCTATTTTAAAAAATACTTCTATTTATATCTACTTATTTATGAGACCAAAGGTTCTCAGCACTTACCGTATATCTAAAACAAAAACCCGAATCTTATTTTTTTTCTAGAAGTAAATAATATTCACCCAGAAGTTAAGGATCTAAATTAGGAGGGAGATCCAATATATTTTGTAAGACATGCATTTCCAATCATTTTTACAACTTTTTTAATTGATTTTTTTTTTTTTTTTTTTTTTTTTTTTTTTTTAGTAAAGAAAGAAGGAAAAAAGAGAGAGAGAAACATTGATGTGAGAGAGACACATCAATCAGTTGCCTGGTGCCCACCCTGACCAGGAATCAACCCACAATCTTCAGGTAACACTGGATGACGCTCCAACAAACTAAGCCACACAAGCCAAGGCTAATTTTCACATTTTAATAATTCTTTTTTAAAATATATTTTTATTAATTTCAGAAAGGAAGAGATAGCAACATTAATGATGAGAATCACCAATTGACTGTCTCCTGCACACTTCCTAACTGATTGAGCCAGAAACCTGGGCATGTGCCCTAACTTTCTGGTTCATAGATTAATGCTCAACCACTGAGCCACACTAATTAACCGAGCCAGTCAATAATTCTTTTTTTAAATGTGTAAAATATTTATGGCATGTGTACTTTTAATAACTATTAATAACTCAACACAGAAGAAATTTGCATACTATTTTTGTTATAGAGAAATATGATCAAATTTTTCATTTTATTTTAATTAATTTATTGATTTTAGAAGCATCGATTTCTTTCTCCACTTAGTTATGTATTCATATGTTGATTCTCGTATGTGCCCTGACCAAGGATCAAACCCACAACCTTCAAAGGTCAATGCTCTAACCACCTAAATTACCCAGTCAGGGCTGATCAAAAAAAATTTTTGAATGGCTTTTAAGAATAAATTATTACTTTAGGCCAATGATTCTCAAAGTGTGGTCCCTCAATCAACATCAACATTACCTGATAAATTGCTAAAAATGCAAATTCCAGGATCCTATAGATCTAGTGAATCAGAAACTCTGGGGGATGGGGCACAACAATCTTTGTTTTAAATATAACAAAGCCTACAGATAAAATTCTGATGCACACTCTAGTTCGTGATTTAAAAAAAAACTTTAGAATAATATTCAGAGAAAGATGTAAAAAGAAAATGCAAAGTTTCTGCTAAAGAGCTTATTCATGTATTTTTTTATTAAATGGGTGGTGATGGGTATTAAATAACTATGATTGATTCCACTTGATATGTTTGATATGTTTAAAAGCATGAAGTTTTAAATTGTCAGTATTAACAATATGATAGAATTTACATCATTCACATATTTTTAAATTTTAAGTAAATTTCAAAGCTGGATGATTACTAGTCTAGAGCAGTGGTTCTCAAACTGTGTCCTTGGACTAGCAATACTGCAGTCATCTATGAGCTTATTAGAAATACAAATTCTCGGAGAATCCAAGATGGCTGCTCGGGTAGGCAACTAGCCACAGCTGCACACAACAATTTCAATAAAATACAACTAAAATATAAAATGGACATTACCCAGAACTACAGGAAAGTCGACTGACTGGAAATTCTACAACAAGCAGCAAGGAGAAAACCAGAAGGAAGCGCGGAGGAGCTGTAAAAGCCCAAGGTACGGAGACACGCGGCGCGCGCAGAGAGGACAGAGCCGGAGAGGAGGGAGGCCGAGTGCCTGGCTGGCGGTCCCAAGCGGGAAGGAGAGAAAAGCTCCGACTGCGCTGGGCCCAGCTCCAACTGCTCTGAACCCCAATTCTAGGCCAGACCCTGGGGACCCAGGCTCATCCATAGGGAGCAGGGCTGTAAGGCGGGACTCCGGGGAAGCGGCGAAAGGAGGTCCAGGAGGCGCGCACACTGCACGCAGAGAAGGGCCAGCCGGCTGTGCCGCGGGATTGCCCTGACGGGAAGGAGACAGGGGCTCCAGACTGCTCTGAACGCCACCTCCAATCCCACTACCAACTGAACTGAACCCCAATACCGGACTCATTGGGGGAGAGCATAGACAGTTTGGCAGCAGGCGAAAATCGAGGGCACCTTTCTCTCAGAGGCGCTCCCAACGAGTACTGAAGGACCCTGAGTCTCAGGAGTCGCATAGGGCGGGGCTGACGGAAGCCAAGGCTGTAGGCTCCACCCTGAAACCCCGCCCCATCAGGAAAGCTGCCTGCGAAAATGCCTAACCCAAATAGATCACAAACGAAAGAAATGGAGGACAAAAAGCGACTGGATATAGAGTTCAAAACCACACTTATAAGGTTGTTCAAGAATCTCCCAGAAAAGGCCGATAAAATAAACAAGACCTATGAGGATATGAAAAGGGATCAACTAGAAATAATAAGGGATCAACAAGAAATAAAGAATACATTGTCTGAAATAAAAAATATTTTATGGAAATAAAAAAACAGAATGGAAAATCGCAAGAATCAAGTCAAAGATTTGGAACATAAAGAGCCAGAAGACACTCCTCCGCAGACACAAGAAGGCCAGAGAATCCAGAAAGTTGAAGATAATGTAAGAAACCTCTGGGACAACTTCAAGCGAACCAACATCAGAATTATGGGGGTCCCAGAAGATGAGAGAGAGCAAGATATCGAAAACATACTGAAAGAAATAGTCACAGAAAACTTCCCCCACCTGGTGAAAGAATTAGACTTACAAGTCCAGGAAGTGCACAGAACTCCAAACAAAAGGAATCCAAAGAGGACCACACCAAGACAAATCATAATTAAGATTCCAAGAGCAAAAGACAAAGAGAGAATATTAAAAGAAGCAAGAGCAAAGAAGGTAGTTACCTATAAAGGAGCACCTATACGATTGTCAGCTGATTTCTCAACAGAAACCATGCAGGCCAGACGGGAATGGCAAGAAATATTCAAGGTGATGAATAGCAAGAACCTACAGCCAAAGATAATCTATCCAGCAAAGCTATCACTCAGATTCAAAGGTCAGATAAAGAGGTTCACTAATAAAAAAAAGCTAAAGGAGTTCATCACCACCAAACCAGAATTATATGAATTGCTGAAGGGGGTTCTTTCGGAAGAGAAAGTAAATAAAGATAAAAATTATGAACAACAAATACATAACTATCAACAAGTGAATCTAAAAACCAAGGAAACTATAAAAATAAAATCTGAGGAACAATATTAACTGTTGAATATAATAGAATCAGAGGTATGGAAGGGGAGTGAACTGTTTATTCTTGGGGAAAAGGGGAGAGGGGTATGTGGGAAGAGACTGAACATAAACTGTGCACCTATGGATGAGGACAATGTGGGGTGGGGAAAGGGCAGAGGGTGGGGTGAGAAGAGGGGGAAAGGAACATTTGAAATAATATGAACAATAAAAATTTATTTAAAAAAAAAAAAGAAAGAAATACAAATTCTCAGGCCCCACCCAAACATACCATGTACTTAATAACAAGCTCTCCAGGTGATTTTTATCCACATTAATGTTTGAGAGCCACTGGTCTAGAAGGCTGTGAAAAACCTATCCATATTTTACTAGGTCAGTACCCAAAATGTAAACCCTTCCCCTATCCTTCAGATTAGGTCCCTCATCTATGCTCTTATGTATCTGCCTTTTTTAAAACAACTCACACAATTACTTAATACCTATTTTCCTCACTAGAGTTCAAGTTCTATGAGTTAAAGAACCATGTGACTCTTGCCCCTTTTGTATACCAAGCACCTGACAATGCCTGCATCATAGGTATTAAATAAATATTTATGAATAAATAACTGAACAATTGTTGGATAAATTCCATGAACTATCAATTTTCCTATAACATGGCTAAAGCTATTATTAGAATGCCAACAGTCTTGGTTTGTCTGGCGCTATCTCTCAAGTGTTCAGAGCACCAAAAGTCCTGTGACCCAGAACTATATAGTCCACTATATTAAATATCATCATTAAGGTTAAAAGACAAGGAAAAATCTGAATACTGCATTTTTCAGTTTGTTTTTCAATTCCATTCTTAATCCTTACCTCTAAATAAGACTTTTATTATACAATATAAGTACAAATAAAATCAAAGTTTATTCAATGACAGCAATGTATTACCAAGAAACCTGACATTTTTAAGGTAGTCTTAGTATGGGGTTAGGGTTAGACTTATAAACTTACCCTCTTTAGCCAAATATAACTCTTTAAATTTTGCTCTCTTTTGATTAAATTCTTGTTCAAGCTGCTGCTGTGCACGTAAATATTCTGCATTAATTTTTTCCAATTCTGCTACCCGTTGCTGAAGAGAAACTGGAAAAAAAATATACTAGTTAACATGTAAAAACTTTAATTTTTTAAAATTGTTACAAGAATAAATTAGTATTCTAACTGGACATTTCTATAATGAAACAGGTAGTCGATCTTCTTCCAAAGATCCAATCTCAGAAGTTCTAATTTTAAAAATAATAAGAAACTTCTTTGGTGACCGAGATGGGAGTTGCACCCATCCAAATTTGCATTCCTAAATCCAAATCTTTCTTCCCACCTTCCTGTCAATAAAGGCTGTTTTGTGCAAAAAAAAAGAAAAGAAAAGAAAAAAAAGAAAAGAAAGAAAAGAAAGAAACTTCTATTAGACTTAATATACACACTGTGAATAAATAATGTAAAGTGCAACAGCCTATATATGGAAAATCACATATGGCAAATTTCCCAACGCAGTCTTTGTATTACTGACAGAATGTCAGTCCACTTCTGGAATTGTTAAATATTAAATTATTTGGGCTAGGAACATTTGAGATCTTGCTCCCCGGCATGTGTCATCAGTTTGGCTCAAATAACCTCTCATAAAAATCAAAAATCAAAAAATTAGGTTATTTATTCCACAAATGAACCCACTACCAATCTTGCTAGCTCCTGCTTGTTTCAAATGTTTCCAGCAAAACCTATCAGGTTCCCTGATTAGGATAGCCACACCAGCCTGAACCATTCTAATTTCAAGAAGATTCATTACCATTATACTGAAATCATAATAAAAAATTATTTCATATAGAAAGGATACAGAACTGTATATTGTGTATGAACTCTCAATTGCTGGGAGAATATCTGGTGTTTAGATTAATGTTGACTGTGATGTGGCAGGGATTGAGACACCTTTCCACTTTAGAGGCTTTACAATTTGGCCACAACTGATCAAATGCCTATCCTGACCAAACCCAGAGAGAGGCTCTTCTGGTTCAAGCAAGAGATAGGAAATTCAAGAGTCCAGTCCTTGACCTCTTCCTTTGCCCAAACAGCAAACCAGCCATAAAGCTATGACCCCAATCTCCCCAGGAGATACCTATCAGTACTAACACCACTGCCTAGTTACCTAGGCCAGCAGTGATCCCAGTCCCCTACAAGCCACCTTAGATGATGATGACTTGCCTATAATTTTAACCATGACCTAAGATTCTAAAAGTCCTCCCTCCCTCAATTCATTATTCACTTGAGAGCTAATTTTATAGTACATAGAAAAAAAGCTGAAAATGCATTAATGATTTATCTATTAGTATTAGGATGTCTAATTAATTTCTTCCATGTGTTTTTCAAAATTCTCTACAGCTCCTTTGATAATAATAATGAACTAAAACCAGTATTTTTCATTGTCATTGTCATTCTTCCCATGAAATCTTCATACTAGCCTCACTACAGATCTATTATAATAGTGTTGGTGATATTCATGGCAAAAAGATGAAATAACTATGACTTTGAGTTCCATGTTATTAAAGGTAAGGAGTCATTTTGTAGAGCAAATATTAGGGTCTCTAGATCCAAGCAAAGAATGGCATCTGGTCATTTGAATGTTTGATAACCTTTGGAGAAATGGAGGAATGGAGTATCCACTGGAATGGGAAAATGTGCAGTTATCTCATATTTACCATTGAAAATCATAAAGGAAACTTGTTCTCTGTGCTATTTATTCCCCTTGTATTTTTATTGTCAAATTCCAATTGTTAAATAAATTAAGTTTTCCACTTAACACTTTAATATTAGTGGTAGCTATTGATTACTGCTCTACTCTTATTTCTAGAAGGGCTCTACTCTTACTTCTACCAAAATACCCACACCTTTCAGGAACTAAAGCTAATGAATCAAAAACTAAAATTCAGCCTTTAAAATTGCAGGCAAGATTAAGAGTGTTTTCACTACTCCCAACCCTGTCTTGGCTCTGACCCACAGTTGATATGAAGTCCTCATCCACAGCTCTGGCTGCCTCTCTCCAGGCTTCAGCCCAGTTTTGTTTTGTTTTTTCAATTCCAAGAATCATGGATCCCTTTGAGGATAAAGCAAGTAACTCCCTTATTCTCACTTTTTAAAAACTAAAAGCATTTTAATTTACTTCAAGTACTTCTAACAACTCTATGATAAGGAAAGGGCCACAACAACTGCTTTTTACAAGAATGCCTCTATTGCTATATCTAGAAAAATGAATTTACCTTGCATAAGACAGCAGGAAAATTTACAAACAGGCATATTCTAAGGCATTAGCAACCAACTACAAGTCAAACTGAAAATAGCTCTGATCACACAAAATGCTGCCTTATTTTTCTAGCATTGTAACTAGTAAGCAATTTATAATAATTAGCTAATAATTTATGTAAAAAGTACTTATCCTGGCATATACAAAAAAATTGTTAGCTATAACTATTAAACTAGTAATATTTATTTAATGAATAAAGGAAAAAAGCAGAGTGATCAAGTGAGTTTGTACATAGCCACAAAAGACCAGAAGTCAATTTCCAACCTCATGATTCTGACTCAGTTCCATTCTTCCACTTCCCTCTTATATGTATCTTCAAAGTGTCATGGACAAATTAATCAGTGTTAATGTTAACTAATTAGTGTTAATATTAAGCTTTCTATAACATAGCAGCTAAGAGCTGTTAGTATACCAGTCTTCGTTAAGCATTCCACACAATCCTTTTTATTGTTACCTTTGAGTAGTAAGAAAGAGGGAAACTATCTTATGCATCAGCTAATTTTAATGTTTTTCCAAAGGGAAAAATCAATGATAAAATGATAATATATATATATTTATCAACAACTGAGTTTACAAAAACAAAATAGAAAAGGACTCAAAGAAAACCTTTTGACAGTTGCCAGATGGAAGAGGGAAGGGGGGGGGGGGAAGTGAAGAGATTAAAGAAGTACAAATTGGTAGTTACAGAATAATCATGGGGGTATGAAGTACAGCATAGAGAATATAGTCAATAATATTGTAATAGCTATGTATGGTGTCAGGTGAGTACCAGATTTATAGGTTGATCACTTAGTAAGTTATATAAACATCTAATCACTGGGTTGTATACATGAAACTAATATAGTATGTCAAATGCAATTGAAAAATAAATATTATTTGAATTTTTAAAAATCTGGCCCTAGCTAGTTTGGCTTAGTAGACAGAGCATTGGCCTTCAGATAGAAGGATTCCGGTTTCAATTCTGGTCAAGGGCATATAACTTGGTTGCAGGCTCCTCCCCAGCAGGGACCCTGGTTGGGGTGTGCGCGGAAGGCAAGCAATTAATATGTTTCTCTCACATCAACATTTCTCTGTCTTTTCCTCTCTCTTCCACTCTCTGAAAATCAATAGGAAAATATCCTCAGTTAAGGTTGTTTTTTTTTTTTAAGTCTGAATTAAGCAACAACATAGAAAGGAGAGAAGTAATAATATGGTAAATAAATGAAGATTCATTAACTTTTAGATTATCTCCTTCCCTAATTTAAAAAAAAAGGGGGGGGGAGGGGGAAAATATGATAACTTAAAAGTATTTTTAAGCCCAAGTTGGGTCCTACTACTACATTCTTCTAACATTGTACTAAATTTAATGAAACAAGCAATCAGAGAAAGGGGGAAAAGTTTAGGACAAATATTACTACAAGAATCTTTTTGTTTAAAGATGTTCAATATCCAATAAAACACCCATTTCACGCAACAATAACAAATAGAAAGTATAACTATTGGAACAAAAGAATCTGAATAGTTCCTAAAACTCAGAAGTCTTGACTTGTGTATCACTGGGTTTTAAAATGATACTTTTAAGTATGGTAGTTACAGCTACCCATTGGAAAAATATCAAGCCAGAAAAATCATATTAACTCCAAAGAACAAGATACAAACATATATGCACTACAACATGAACCATTAAAAAAAACACAGGAAAAAGACTGGAAAGACTATGACAAATTATACTGTTTGCCTCTTTGAATATAGGGGTAATTAAAAGAAATTACATTGATTGGATTTAAATTAAATGTAATGAAGTGTTTCATTTTTTTTAGTAATAATGATAATTTTATCTTATTGCTCCACCTCAATTATTCTGCTCATAAAAAAATACACATAATTTACTTCAGTAATCTTAAAATATTTTAAAATAATAAATACAAATTACACAGATTTTCCCAGGACAGACAATTTGCTAAAAGATTGATTTTCTTAAAAACATAATCTCTTCTGATTCAGAAGTAGCCTTCCACCTGGCCTTCTTATGGGGCTCTAAAAACCTGTATTCAGCTTCTTTTAGAAATTACTAAAAATGATGATTTTTTAATATGTTTTTATTGATTTAAGAGAGGAAGAAGAGGGAGAGAAATAGAAACATCAATGATGAGTGAGAATCATTGATCGGCTGCCTCCTGCACATCCCATACTGGAGATGGAGCCTGCACAAACTGGAATCGAACCATGAACTCCCAGTTCATAAGTCAATGCTCACCCACTGAGCCATGCCAGCTGGGCTAAATGACTATTATTTGCAGTAAATCTGCTCACTTAATTATGAGTTATTTAATCTAATATTTAAATAAATCCATAATTACTTAACATGACTCACAAAAGGGAAGAGGAGAAAATGTAGTGGATGGGGCTGGCAGGAACTACAATCTAGAGCAGTGTTTCCCAACCTTCTCTCATGATGAGAATCACCTGGTGGAGTTGTTAAAACACAGATTCCTGAATCCCAACTAAGAAGTGCTAAACTAGAATTTTTGGGAACATATAGGTAAAATTGTATACTTAACTAGTGCTCTAAGACAGATTTTATATACAGAGCACTAAGTTAGGTAAGCAATTTTACCTATATGTTCTCAAAAATTCTAGTTTAGCACTTCTTAGTTGGGATTCAGGAATCTGTGTTTTAACAACTCCACCAGGTGATTCTCATCATGAGAGAAGGTTGGGAAACACTGATCTAGAGAATATCCATCACAAGCTGCAATCCATATACAGGTAATTGCATTAACATTACCAATAACTTTACAATATTAGAACA